CCCCTTGGAAAAAATCGAAAAATTAGAAAACGACATTTCAGCAATGTTTTGAATGAGGAAAGTCGCTTTCGGGTTCGCTGATTACTAAATGGTGCTTTATTTCTTGATCGGATATAAATTGGCAGAGATATGGCGATCAGAAGGAGCAAAAGTGCGAAAATTGGGAAAACCCACAATTTTGCAGGGGATCCCCTTGGAAAAAATCGAAAAATTAGAAAACGACATTTCAGCAATGTTTTGAATGAGGAAAGTCGCTTTCGGGTTCGCTGATTACTAAATGGTGCTTTATTTCTTGATCGGATATAAATTGGCAGAGATATGGCGATCAGAAGGAGCAAAAGTGCGAAAATTAGGAAAACCCACAATTTTGCAGGGGATCCCCTTGGAAAAAATCGAAAAATTAGAAAACGACATTTCAGCAATGTTTTGAATGAGGAAAGTCGCTTTCGGGTTCGCTGATTACTAATTGGTGCTTTATTTCCTAATCGGATACAAATTGGCAGAGATATGGCGATCAGAAGGAGCAAAAGTGCGAAAATTAGGAAAACCCACAATTTTGCAGGGGATCCCCTTGGAAAAAATCGAAAAATTAGAAAACGACATTTCAGCAATGTTTTGAATGAGGAAAGTCGCTTTCGGGTTCGCTGATTACTAAATGGTGCTTTATTTCTTGATCGGATATAAATTGGCAGAGATATGGCGATCAGAAGGAGCAAAAGTGCGAAAATTGGGAAAACCTACAATTTTGCAGGGGATCCCCTTGGAAAAAATCGAAAAATTAGAAAACGACATTTCAGCAATGTTTTGAATGAGGAAAGTCGCTTTCGGGTTCGCTGATTACTAAATGGTGCTTTATTTCTTGATCGGATATAAATTGGCAGAGATATGGCGATCAGAAGGAGCAAAAGTGCGAAAATTAGGAAAACCCACAATTTTGCAGGGGATCCCCTTGGAAAAAAATCGAAAAATTAGAAAACGACATTTCAGCAATGTTTTGAATGAGGAAAGTCGCTTTCGGGTTCGCTGATTACTAAATGGTGCTTTATTTCTTGATCGGATATAAATTGGCAGAGATATGGCGATCAGAAGGAGCAAAAGTGCGAAAATTGGGAAAACCCACAATTTTGCAGGGGATCCCCTTGAAAAAAAATCAAAAAATTAGAAAACGACATTTCAGCAATGTTTTGAATGAGGAAAATCGCTATCGGGTTCGCTGATTACTAAATGGTGCTTTATTTCTTGATCGGATACAAATTGGCAGAGATATGGCGATCAGAAGGAGCAAAAGTGCGAAAATTGGGAAAACCCACAATTTTGCAGGGGATCCCCTTGGAAAAAAATCGAAAAATTAGAAAACGACATTTCAGCAATGTTTTGAATGAGGAAAGTCGCTTTCGGGTTCGCTGATTACTAAATGGTACTTTATTTCCTGATCAGATGCAAATTGGCACAGACATGGCGATCAGAAGGAGCAAAAGTGCGAAAATTGGGAAAACCCACAATTTTGCAGGGGATCCCCTTGGAAAAAAATCGAAAAATTAGAAAACGACATTTCAGCAATGTTTTGAATGAGGAAAGTCGCTTTCGGGTTCGCTGATTACTAAATGGTACTTTATTTCCTGATCAGATGCAAATTGGCACAGACATGGCGATCAGAAGGAGCAAAAGTGCGAAAATTAGGAAAACCCACATTTTTGCAGGGGATCCCCTTGGAAAAAAAATCGAAAAATTAGAAAACGACATTTCAGCAATGTTTTGAATGAGGAAAGTCGCTATCGGGTTCGCTGATTACTAAATGGTGCTTTATTTCTTGATCAGATGCAAATTGGCAGAGATATGGCGATCAGAAGGAGCAAAAGTGCGAAAATTGGGAAAACCCATAATTTTGCAGGGGATCCCTTGGAAAAAAATCGAAAAATTAGAAAACGACATTTCAGCAATGTTTTGAATGAGGAAAGTCGCTTTCGGGTTCGCTGATTACTAAATGGTGCTTTATTTCTTGATCAGATGCAAATTGGCAGAGATATGGCGATCAGAAGGAGCAAAAGTGCGAAAATTGGGAAAACCCACAATTTTGCAGGGGATCCCCTTGGAAAAAAATCGAAAAATTAGAAAACGACATTTCAGCAATGTTTTGAATGAGGAAAGTCGCTTTCGGGCTCGCTGATTACTAAATGGTACTTTATTTCTTGATCGGATACAAATTGGCAGAGATATGGCGATCAGAAGGAGCAAAAGTGCGAAAATTAGGAAAACCCACAATTTTGCAGGGGATCCCCTTGGAAAAAAAATCGAAAAATTAGAAAACGACATTTCAGCAATGTTTTGAATGAGGAAAGTCGCTTTCGGGCTCGCTGATTACTAATTGGTGCTTTATTTCCTAATCGGATACAAATTGGCAGAGATATGGCGATCAGAAGGAGCAAAAGTGCGAAAATTAGGAAAACCCACAATTTTGCAGGGGATCCCCTTGGAAAAAAATCGAAAAATTAGAAAACGACATTTCAGCAATGTTTTGAATGAGGAAAGTCGCTTTCGGGCTCGCTGATTACTAAATGGTACTTTATTTCTTGATCGGATACAAATTGGCAGAGATATGGCGATCAGAAGGAGCAAAAGTGCGAAAATTGGGAAAACCCACAATTTTGCAGGGGATCCCCTTGGAAAAAAATCTAAAAATTAGAAAACGACATTTCAGCAATGTTTTGAATGAGGAAAGTCGCTTTCGGGTTCGCTGATTACTAAATGGTACTTTATTTCCTGATCAGATGCAAATTGGCAGAGATATGGCGATCAGAAGGAGCAAAAGTGCGAAAATTGGGAAAACCCACAATTTTGCAGGGGATCCCCTTGAAAAAAAATCGAAAAATTAGAAAACGACATTTCAGCAATGTTTTGAATGAGGAAAGTCGCTTTCGGGTTCGCTGATTAATAAATGGTGCTTTATTTCTTGATCGGATACAAATTGGCAGAGATATGGCGATCAGAAGGAGCAAAAGTGCGAAAATTAGGAAAACCCACAAATTTGCAGGGGATCCCCTTGGAAAAAAATCTAAAAATTAGAAAACGACATTTCAGCAATGTTTTGAATGAGGAAAGTCGCTTTCGGGTTCGCTGATTACTAAATGGTGCTTTATTTCCTGATCGGATACAAATTGGCAGAGCTATGGCGATCAGAAGGAGCAAAAGTGCGAAAATTGGGAAAACCCACAAATTTGCAGGGGATCCCCTTGGAAAAAAATCTAAAAATTAGAAAACGACATTTCAGCAATGTTTTGAATGAGGAAAGTCGCTTTCGGGTTCGCTGATTACTAAATGGTACTTTATTTCCTGATCAGATGCAAATTGGCAGAGATATGGCGATCAGAAGGAGCAAAAGTGCGAAAATTGGGAAAACCCACAATTTTGCAGGGGATCCCCTTGAAAAAAATCGAAAAATTAGAAAACGACATTTCAGCAATGTTTTGAATGAGGAAAGTCGCTTTCGGGTTCGCTGATTAATAAATGGTGCTTTATTTCTTGATCGGATACAAATTGGCAGAGATATGGCGATCAGAAGGAGCAAAAGTGCGAAAATTAGGAAAACCCACAAATTTGCAGGGGATCCCCTTGGAAAAAAATCTAAAAATTAGAAAACGACATTTCAGCAATGTTTTGAATGAGGAAAGTCGCTTTCGGGTTCGCTGATTACTAAATGGTGCTTTATTTCCTGATCGGATACAAATTGGCAGAGCTATGGCGATCAGAAGGAGCAAAAGTGCGAAAATTGGGAAAACCCACAAATTTGCAGGGGATCCCCTTGGAAAAAAATCGAAAAATTAGAAAACGACATTTCAGCAATGTTTTGAATGAGGAAAGTCGCTTTCGGGTTCGCTGATTACTAATTGGTGCTTTATTTCCTGATCGGATACAAATTGGCAGAGATATGGCGATCAGAAGGAGCAAAAGTGCGAAAATTGGGAAAACCCACAAATTTGCAGGGGATCCCCTTGGAAAAAAATCGAAAAATTAGAAAACGACATTTCAGCAATGTTTTGAATGAGGAAAGTCGCTTTCGGGTTCGCTGATTACTAAATGGTACTTTATTTCCTGATCGGATACAAATTGGCAGAGATATGGCGATCAGAAGGTGCAAAAGTGCGAAAATTGGGAAAACCCACAATTTTACAGGGGATCCCCTTGGAAAAAAATCGAAAAATTAGAAAACGACATTTCAGCAATGTTTTGAATGAGGAAAGTCGCTTTCGGGTTCGCTGATTACTAATTGGTGCTTTATTTCCTGATCGGATACAAATTGGCAGAGATATGGCGATCAGAAGGAGCAAAAGTGCGAAAATTAGGAAAACCCACAATTTTGCAGGGGATCCCCTTGGAAAAAAATCGAAAAATTAGAAAACGACATTTCAGCAATGTTTTGAATGAGGAAAGTCGCTTTCGGGTTCGCTGATTACTAATTGGTGCTTTATTTCCTGATCGGATACAAATTGGCAGAGATATGGCGATCAGAAGGAGCAAAAGTGCGAAAATTAGGAAAACCCACAATTTTGCAGGGGATCCCCTTGGAAAAAAATCGAAAAATTAGAAAACGACATTTCAGCAATGTTTTGAATGAGGAAAGTCGCTTTTGCAATGTTTTGAATGAGGAAAGTCGCTTTTGGGTTCGCTGATTACTAAATGGTACTTTAATTCCCGATCAGATGCAAATTGGCAGAGATATGGCGATCAGAAGGAGCAAAAGTGCGAAAATTGGGAAAACCCACAATTTTGCAGGGGATCCCCTTGGAAAAAAATCGAAAAATTAGAGCATTTTATATGTACGGACCATGATACAAATATAATATATAATATAAGATATACAATTATAATATATAAATAAGATATACAACTCTATAATTGTTTCATGGTTTTAAGACAGTAATCAGATTTAATAAAATTTTTTGAAAAAAAAAAATAAAAAAATAATAAAAGAAAACCTAACCTCTTATCCTTTATCCTTTTAGCCTTTTTGACGCCAAAGTACCGTCGTCGCAACGCTCTGGGCTCCACATATCGGACATCCACAACCTGGAGGGCTCCGAGCTGAAGAACGCCGCTGCTGCCGCCCATCATGGCAGCGATCTGAGCCACCACCACCACCACCATAATTGTATCATGGTACGGACTATATTGGTATTCATTAATTTTATGAAATTCATTTTGGCTTTATTTCTAATCAGTATAAAAATAAACATCATTACAAACATAATTAATATATTTATAATTTGTTTTTTATTGAAAAACAAATTGGCAACCCATAGGCCTTTAATTTCGTGTGTCAAAATAGGCCAATATGGGTAAAATAAATAAAGTAAGTAAAATAAAAAAAAGTAAAAGTAAAATAACTTAGAAAACCAAAAAAATCAGTTAATTCGGAAACCATCGTTCTATCTTCCAACAAACCATTGGCCTTTAATTTCGTTTGTCAAAATAAACCATTTTGGGAACAAAAAATAAAGTAAAATAAAAAAAAAGTAAAAGTAAAATAACTAAGAAAACAAAAAAAAATCAGTAAATTAGGAAACCATCGTTCTATCTTCCAACAAACCATTGGAATCATTCTGCTGTCAACAAGTGCCAAGTACAAACTTGGTTAACAAAAATAAAATTATTTATTTCTAATCAGCATAAAATCATAATCAGCATAATCAATCAGCAAACCATTGGCATTCAATTTTGTTTGTCAAAATTATGGCCCATTGTAGGTAAAATAATTAAAACCAAATAAAAAATAAAAACTAAGAAATCCAAATGAGGATAAGTCAGAAGACGAGGACCAAAACCAACTGCATTGCAAAAAAAAAAAAAATAAAAAAAAAAAAGCAAAGAACAATAAATATCTCAAAGGCCATCGATATTTATGACTACTTTCCAAGAACCCAGGCCAAATTTGGGAAAAAATAAAAAAAAATAAAATAAAATAAAGACTTGTCATTCGCAAAGCAGAAGCCCGAATGCAGTTGATATGGAAACGGATTCCCTTTATATAGCCCAATTCCAGTGCTGCAAAATGTTGAAAACTGAAATGGATTTCCGGCGGCAACTAAAAATAAGTGTTGATCAACGTAAACCAGCTGTAGTTGTGGAAATGGTATGGTATTTCGACTACCCTCTTCCTGATCGGATACAAATTGGCAGAGCTATGGCCATCAGAAGGAGTAAAAGTGCAAAAATTAAAAAAAACCCACAATTTTGTAGGGAATTCGCCTTGGAAATAAATCGAAATGTGATGTGACACACTGTGTACAGGCCTTGGAAGTGAACTGCGGCCTACAAGGATATGAAAAATCTTCGCAGAATCGTCTTCCGCCGGATCAGATCTTCAAGTGGACCTCGTCGACCGTGCCGGGACTAATCATGCCAAGGATACGTCAGGACAGCAACTCCGCATTCCACCGCAGATGCCCTTCGCAGCCGGATGTTCTTCTGACCAGCCTGTCGGATTCTACGAAGTTTCTAGTATGTATCTTAAGGTCTTTGTATTTATTATTTATTATATCTTTTATTTTAGTTATATGTAGTTATAGGTTGTTAATCTTAAATAGCCTTAACCGAAATAAAAATGATTTACAAAATATATCCTGCGTCTTACTGGAGGGGTGGGTGATTTATTGACAGGTACAACGTGGTCTTAACATGGATCAGGAAATAGGTTTCCGTTCTGTAATCAAAAACCCAATTACCGAGTTTCCACACTCATATCTTGGTCTCAGTACCCTTTTAATATTTTTTGACCAGTATAATCAAAAAGTAATCAGTATAGCCATGATATAGAATTCTACTCATAATTGTATCATTCCTTTCACAAAGTTTTGCTGTCATTGTCATTTAGGTTCGGAAAAATATAGATTATTAAAATAATATTAAGTTCAGCTAAATTATTGATATAAAAACGGTCATGGTTGGAGAAGAAGATGTGCTTTTCCAGCTTGACCTGGAGCTACTCCTGGACGATGAACCAAAGATCAGCAGCCCGCACAAAGCAAGATTTCAGATGCACCGATGGCTCAAGTTTATGCCCCACATACGGTTCCAGAACACCGAATTCCCGAGGAAGGATAGTCTTAAAAACCAGGTTTCGGCAGTTTTAATGAACAACTCAGCTGCTGATGTGTCAGTTATGGTTGGCGGTAGGAGGTACAAGAGCTATCTGATGGCTTTGAAATCGTATTGCCGTCTGTTCCACGGCGAGGAGTACCAGACCGGAGATACTTTGATGCTATGTGACGGGTCGATAAGCCCCGAATCCTTCGAGATCGCCTATTCGTGGATGACCCAGCACCAGGTATACTTCTACGGCGAGCAGATTCTGGATCTCTTGGTGGCCGCAAAGGCTCTTATTTGCCCGGAACTGACTCGCGCCATCTACGATTGCCTGAACAACCATAACAACTTTTCCGAGTTGGAGGCCTTCGATTGCTACGGACGGGCCATGGAAAAAGGAATGACTGAGGTAGCCATGCTGATGCTGGGTCGGGTCGGCAAGTGCTTTCTGGTCCTGGTGGGCACATCCCAATTCAGCCAGCTGAGTGTGAAGCACTGCAGCATCGTGCTTGGCTCAAGCCATCTTGCTGTACAATCGGAAATAGAGGTGAGAATGGGGATTCAGTAACCCATAGGTATCCCATATCCCATAACCATTTGTTTTTTGTCAGACTTTCTATGCAGCTCTGGGATGGATTTACAAAGATTATGAGGGACGCAAGAAGGATATCGGTCTTGTTCTAGACAGCGTTAAGTTTAGTTGGCTGCCGCCCCTATTTCTACTTTGTTTGGCGGATTACCTGCCGGACTTGCAGCCGGAAGTGGCGGATCAACTGTGCGGCTTCATCGATGCCGGGATGGCCATGCAGCAGTGCGAAGCCCTCACTCCGTTCATGCGGCACGGGGAGAGCGAGGGAAGTCGTAACTGGATCGTGGACCCAAAGTGTCCCTACAAACACCATTTGCATCATGGCTTCCCCGATAAAGTGAGCATGGAAGCATTCATCGATTATATGAAATCGATTCAGGCCAATCCAAGTAAGTTCCGTGCCCGCTTGGAGGACGGAGCCAAGCCATCGTGGCGTAGTTCTGAGCCATCGCAGGAAAGCATCGATGTAGGAACGGAAAGCCAGGATATGACATCTGTCCGACATAAGGTTGAAGAAAAGCTATCTGCAATTCTAAAGAAATCTTGGGAGGACCAATCCGAACCGAAACTATCAAACACCAGTCTTTCTCAGTTCATGCCGACAGAGTTCTCGTCATTGGAGGAATTGGAGTACCGCTCCTGGTCGAAAATCGTTAAAAAACGGGAAGAGGATAATCTTTATGGGTATAATCGTCCCGAAAGATTCAAGGCGATGCCTTCCCGAAAACGGCCCAGATTTTAGGAGTACGTCTATGCGTTTTTTTGGACGTACTTCCAAATGCCATCAAAAAAATTGTTAAATTTCATTAAATCTGTTCTATGTTCGAGTAGCTTGTTCTGTCGTTTCTTTATTCGATTTCAGATTTCTAAAGTGGGAAAATTGGAAAAAATCTAGAAAAATGTTGAAATGATATTCAAGCCATATTTTGAACGAGGAGTAGGAGTTATTGAAGCACTGAGAACAGAATGGTACACTTTTTCCTGATCGGATATAAGTTACGCATATAGAATCAGAGATTCGCTATCTATAGATGATGATACTTAAGAACTACCATCCTTAAACTTCCCACTTCAAAAAAGACGGATGGTAGGTTATGGTTAGATGGTTCGGATGTATGTATTGTATGTATATGTACACATATTTACAAAAGTCGCGCTTATAAATAGAATTCGGCAAGATTCGGGCGGTGGTACGGTGGATGTCCTTTTCTTTCTTAAGACTAATGATAATCCTACAGATCTGGGCGTTTCTCCAGCTTCTGGGAGCAGGCCTACACAAGCGTGGAGAGCTCATGCAGGGAGACGGTGATGTTGCTCATGTCCAGCGTAGGCGGCATGCCCGGGCTCACGGATCCGCTCGCCTCGCGTCCTCCGGACGTCAGGCAGCTGGTGTTCGCCAGCCCAACCAATGGCCTGGGCGTTGGCGGTGTGGGCGGTGTGGCGGTGGCCGGACGGACAAGGAACGATGAGTTTACAGCTCCACCTCCAGTCAAGTGATTGTTGCCGCTCAGCAGTGGGTTGAAGCTGCCGTGGGAGTGGTTGGGCGAGACGGGCGTCACGGAGGGAGGCTGCAGCATACAGGCGTGCTGGCTCTGGTACAGTTGCATCGGTTGCTGGGCAGCCGATGGCGATGTGGCGGTGGCGGCGTGGTAGGTGCTATGCGACAGGGGATGAGGCACAGGCACTGGCAGCGCCAGAGGCATGGAGACCGGCAGTTGGCTGGCCGAAAGAAGCGAGATATTGTGCGCATGCGGATGGGGTGGCGGCGGCAACGAAAGTCCCAAACTTATAGGGGCGCCACGGTAGCTGATGGTCTTCTCCCGCTGCCAGACGAACACGTTGTGGACCATGGCGCCGCCGCAGAAGACGATTCCCACGCCGATCAGGATACTGGTCACCGTTGCCGGCGTCGAGTGGAAGTGGCTGAATGTGTAAAGTATGAGGCCGGTGAGGAGCACCGGAATGGAGATGAAGAAGCCACTGACGGCACAGGTGCGACTGGCGCTCGACTTGGCCAGGTACTGGTTGTCGCGACCCTCAAACATCGGCGCCCGCAGCTTCACGGCGAACAGGAACTGAATGGCGCAGACGAGCAGGCAGCACAGGTTCAGGGAGAGCGAGAGGGCGCCCAGGGCCAAGGTGACGTCGTACACAACGATAAAGTCCTCGCTGTTGGCCACCACACCCGAGGTGGAACTCCTTCCCAACGCATCCTCGCGTCCATTGGGCGAGATCCTCAGCAGGAAAATCAGCGAGAGCAGCGCCAGCAAGAGGGAAACTATAAAAAGGACAGGATAAGTACATGTTGCAAAAGTGAGTGAGACAGAAAATGATGCCTCACGAGGACTACATACTGAGACAGAGCAAGCCCAGACTGGTGAGCGCCTCCCGTGGCGACGGACCCGGCTTGTTCAGCTTCTGAACCACGGGATTGGCCGTCAGGTTGTGACAATTAATGTAGCTGTGCCCCACCGGGCTCAGGTGGTGCGCATGCGTCTGCTGATGCGGCTGGTGGAGCAACTGCGTCTGTGCCGGCATCGGCGACTGCATCAGCGAGTGTGACGCTTGCTGGGAGTGATGATGCTGCTGCTGCTGCTGCTGCAGTTGATGGCTGCTGTCGGCCAGGATGTGCTGGTTGGTGTACGTGTGATGATGGATGCTCCCATTTCCCAGGCAGTTTCCGTTCGGGGTCAGCGGTGTGAGGGGAGTGAGTGGCTTGAGCGGGGTACTGGGGGTGGCAATATTCAAGAGGGTGGAGGCGTTTGCCACTCGTCCCCCGCCATTGAGCAGGGTGCTCGTGGCGGAGGCGTTCAGGGCGGAGATGTTGAGCGGTTGCGGTTGTGGCTGCGGCGGTCGCAGGTGGATGTTGCGCGCGGTCGTTGCCAAGGCAGCTGCAGCAGGTGTCGGTGAATTCCCGCCACCGGTGGTGGTTCCAGTTCCTGTTCCTGTTCCATTTATACCTCCGCTTGTAGCATGAACTGGGGGTGTGTTGTGGCCGCTGCCACTGCTCCCGCTGTTATTATTGCTGCTATTGCTGTTGCAATTGCTGTTGCTGTTGCTATTGCCGTTGCCGTTGCAATTAATACTGCTGGCGGTGCGCAGCAGCTGGCCGCCACCAAGTGGCACGGGCGGGGGCACGGGTATTGCGACGGTGGCAGCGCCAGCGGTGGTGGTGGCTGCAGTAGCGGTGGCAGTCACACTGCTCGCATTTGAGGCGTGCTTCAGCATTTCCTGCGGATTCGATCGATCTTTGTTCACATTCTGGACGTTCTAAAAACAAACAGGACTAATCGACCCTGAAAAGGGATTAGGAAAATGATTAGAAAGTATGATCTCTAATTTATTTGCCAGATCTGTTAGTGATGGAACTTTCTTTTCGTTGGCGGGTGGGGGGGACGGGGAAAAAACTTTCCCATAACTTATGCATTGCATGTATTAAGTAATTAGCGAATGGTGGAGAACTTTTCCCGGGGGGAGAAGGGGGGGCCTGGGGAATAAAAGCAAAAGCGGGAAAAACTGAATATTCACACGCTTAGAGAGAGAGAGGAAGCGAGACAGAAGGAGATAAAGTGCACAAGTGCAGCGAAATGCAATTGTAACGGTTCACCTGTGCATGTACACACTCACACACACACACATCAGACATAAGCGTAAAAATTTCCCACAAATATTTCCAATGGACTGGAAGGACCTTGAGTTCCCACGGCCTGTGACGAATTCAGAGGAAAACCCATTAGCTTACTTGGAAAATGTTGATTTTTAGCTGACCAAATGGTTTTCTATTTCACGAGCACAAGACTCAGCAGCTTTGTGACCAAAAAACTGAACACTGAGCCCGCGACGAAAACACCAAATGCAATTGACAAGTTCGAGAAAACGGGTTTACCTCTGTGTTCTTTTTGGGGTATTTTAATTTCCCTTTTTGGCCTGTGACCTTTACATGGCCAGCGCGGAGTTGGTCGCCGGCCACCACGATCACTTGGCGATTTTGAATGAATTAACCAGAGGCCATCAATGGGCATTGGCCAATTAGCGGCATCTACTGCCAGGCGGCGGCTACAAGGAGCATTCCAACGGGAACTGGATACATTCCAAATGAACTATTCCAGTTGATGAACTATCCCAACCCACTAAGGACACCCAAATGAACTACACTTCCTCTAAATATAGTTAATCACTGGTAGTTACTTACAAAAAATAAAAAAAAAATTAATAAATAAACCGTCGTTTTTGGTTGTATTTTCACAAATGAATTTTCAATAAACCGTAATTTGATGAACGTTTTTCGCGATCAACAATCGTTCATTCGTAGTTAGGCGCCCGGTTCGTGAAAGCGAAAGAAAAAAAAAAATAAATAAAAATAACTGCGACTACGATCCGTTTCGATCCGTGGCTCTCTTCGGACTCGGAATCCACTTCAGCCAGTGCTGTTGGCTTTTTGGTTCTAGCCGCCGGCAGCGATGCGATGGCCAGCTATTCGCACAACCAGTTAACAAGTGAACGGGCGGGCTCTGCCTCTCTTCCGCTCTCTATTTTATACACCCGATCCCTCTAACACACACACACACACACACACACTGGCACATGCGGGCAAGGGAATAAGCCAACTCCAAATGCCATTGGTCACAGTGGCTCAGCAGCCTTGGGAAAGGCCCTAATTGCAGCAAGGCGTTGAAGGAGTAACCGTGAAGATATAATATCTAATAGATACAATTTTTAATTATTGAGATTTTAGAAATATTATTTTAGACGGATATGTTATGAAAATAATGAAATAAATTAAAAGGAAAACTTTAGGAATTCATTCTTTTGAAAATTATCTTTCTAGGAATCCTTCTAGAAAAATCAGCTTGTCTACATTTTTTAGAAGCACTTAAACTTTTAAAAAATATAAGCTTTTATAGCTAGATTTTATTAGTTGTAGTAATTATTGTAACTAAGGAGTTACATTTCTATTTATAGGGTAATTCAAAATTTAAAACTGCACAAGATAAAGCGGGATAAGCTAAAAATTGAGTAACTGTGCCATTTCCTAAACGATATAATAAATTGTATTAAGCAGAGAAAGATTTAATTTTATTAAATCCCAGAGCTCTGGGATTATTTATAGCATTTTTTTACACAATTACGAAAATTATATTGAAATGTTATTTTAAAATTTTCTAGATCTTTCGAGGGCTATAGTAGGGTGCTTCCCTTGGCCCTGTTTACCTAAAGCAGTATTTTGTATCCAAATCACTTGGATAATAGCCCAGATATTCTCCTTTACAAAAATCATGTTTTTTATCTATAATATTTTTTTCCTTTTTTTAAGTTTAAAAAATATATGCCTAGCTCTTAAAAATATAAACCACCATTTGAGATAGCGCCCTTCGTTTTTACCCTGCAACCCACTGTATCTCAAACCTGATCGATGCACGCTCACACACAGATACACCAAGCCGATCCTGCCCCACACACATACACGTAAGGCAAACGATGCTACCACCACTACCAACCACAACAACAACAACACAACGTAAGCCACAAGAGCCGCAGTAAAAGCAATATCAGCGGCTTCAACTTCAACTCGCCTAGCCGCATTCCACAAGCTCAGCTCTTGGCTGGGAGGCAGTTGTTGTTTGTTAGTTTTGTTGTTGTTGTTGTGCTTGTTTGTTGTTTTGGCCGACAGACATTTTTGCCTCTTGTTGCATACCACACATTCATGTCGTGCCTATACAGGGCTAGGAGCACGTTTAAATATTCACAAACTAATACCTTTTGAAGTCAGTAATTAGACGCACGGAAATTAGCCTTTGCATGCCGTTTCTGGCATCTGGTTACGAATTTATTGGTAGAAATTCGCGCGCGGCACTTGGCCAATAGGAGTTCTTCAGTTGGATTCAAAAAATACAAAATTCATTGTTGCCACATTTTTAATATTTATTCTCCAGTGTTGGTCAACGAAATTAAATATCGAGTTGATATTCGCAAAATTATTATCGATAAATTTAAAACGTAGGGATGATATCGTGAAAGTATAAAAGTATCGATTTATTTTGTTAAAGAAAATAAACATAAGGCTTTGGGAGTTTATTTTTAATTCCTCACTCTTATTTTCTAATAATATAAACCTAAATGATACAAATTTTTCAAATGAGACCTGAAAAAATAGTTTTTCCCACCCGAAAAAGAACAACACTGGCACGAATCGACCGCTAAACGATAGGCATGTTCCAAGTGTCATCCCTAGGTCTGTACGAGCATATTTTTTTGCCAAATTACTGCACAGCTGCACTGCCAAAGACCAAAGAGCATGACTGATCCTAGCAAACTTTCCGTGGCCGTGGTGTGTTCCTCGAACATGAACCGTTCCATGGAGGCGCACAATTTCCTGGCTAAGAAGGGCTTTAATGTGCGCTCCTATGGCACTGGCGAACGCGTCAAACTGCCCGGCATCGCGTTTGACAAACCAAATGTTTACGAATTTGGAACAAGCTACGAGGACATCTACCGCGACCTGGAGACCAAGGACAAGGAGTTGTAAGCCAAAACTTTCCAACTAATCAAACATATAGCCGAATTGTCATCTGACCACATGTTCACATCCACCGACAGCTACACACAGAACGGCCTGCTGCACATGCTGGACCGCAACCGGCGGATTAAAAAGTGTCCGGAACGATTCCAGGAAACGAAGGAGCAGTTCGATATAATCGTTACTGTCGAGGAGCGTGTCTACGACTTGGTGGTGCTGCACATGGAATCGATGGACTCTGTCGACAACCGGCCTGTACACGTCCTCAACGTTGATGTGGTTGACAACGCCGAAGATGCGCTAATGGGTGCCTTCCTCATTACAGACATGATAAATTTGGTGCGAATCAAATACCGTTGTTTCTTTTGGGGCAATAACACTTAATGCATACACCTTAATCCTTTGCAGATGGCCAAGTCCATGGATCTTGATAACGATATTGACGAAATGATACAGGAGTTCGAAGAGCGGCGAAATCGAGTGATCCTGCACTCTGTTCTCTTTTACTGACGACCGTCGCGAGGCATACGAACGTGTCCTGTTCCTGTTTTTTTCCCAGCTACCAGCTCCCTTCTCGGAGGTCGTAGACCCAGGGGGCAAGGGAATATCAACAAACGGGATCGGGATCGTGATTGGGGAGGGGGGTTATTGTGGCGTCACTCAAGTGGCAGCCATATAGGTTGTAAATAGGGAGGCCATACCACACACTGACCAGATCTACACCAGCGAGCATGCAGCGGCAATTGTGGCGTTCGTTACAGCTGTGCGATGGGGTTATCGGCTCAAATACTCTCTCAAACAGTAGCATATGTACGTGTGTGCGTTCGTTTTCCTTGTTAGTACAAGAAATCTGTTTTGTTTTTTGTTCCCGGTTGATTTTTAGCTTTTATCATTAATTCCGATATCAATTTTTAAAATTTTCTTCGACTGGCAACACTGGCCGGTTACCCATTCTCTTCTCTCCAATTCCCCAAAAACCCCCCACCATCCACCTACGTACTCCACCTTTAACCGATTCGCGTAAACAGAGAACAGCCAGCAAAGCAATCGCATGCGGTGCTCCACACTTGGCAGTGTGTGCGTGTGTTTGTGTCTGTGTCTGTGTGTATGTGTAAGTGCGTATTCGGATGAGTGCATGGCAGAGAACCGGCTAAGTCAGGGACGGAGTGGGCGGATCAACGGGATAGGAGTACCTTTTTAAAATTTTTCTTTTTTTTTTAAACTAAACGACTTATTGGGACGGGGGATACCGGTCTGCAACCCATAATTAATAAATTAGAATAACACAATACCACTGAGGGCTGTACGTCTCACAGTTACAAACCATAGAAGGAGGCCGCAGTGGGTGCTACCAGGCAGAACAATACTAAATAATTCAATTATTAAGAAAGCTATATGTGTAATAAATGAAACTAATTTATATTGGCTTGTTTTTTCGGTGTTCCAAAGGTTATTTTACTCAAAAACAATTATTTTTCAAGATTAGAATGCTAATTTGTAATGTAGAAAAATAAAAAATTTTAAAATAACACAAAAAAATGGGTGGCATAATAAAAGATAATTGAAAATTATAAAAATAATTGAAATCTTTCAGTTATAGTTTTTTTTAGATCTACCATGTATGTAAGTCTTATGGTTTTTATATTATAAAGTAGCCTCTGCACCTTTAGATATTTTTAATTTAATAAAAAAATTAATCTTTACTTTTTGAAAAGATACTTTCAAGGCCGTGACTCCTAAAGAGTATAAATAATTTAATTCTCTTTTTATACAAAACTAAACGCATGTGAGGTTCAAAAAATAAATTTTGTAAGTAAATATGTTAAATATTAATATGTTTTTAATTATTTGTGTTATGATTTAACTTCTGAAAATTAAAAAAAGAAAATATTGTTAAGACCAATTAAACACTTTATATTTTAAGTGTTAATTTAGTCGCGAAACAATTTAGTCTTTAAAAAAAATACTATTAAAAAGATTAATAATCACATGTACCCTCGCCGCCCGAGTCCGTCCCTGGCCGATCGCCGCCGTCGGTTACAAAGCGTCGTTTCTGTTGTTGCCATTGGCAGTGCCGCCGCCGCTCCATCGCTCCAACGCTCCATCGCCCCAATGCTTCATGCACGCTTTGTGTGCTCGGCCTGGCGCAGTCAGGGAACGATCGCGCTTGGCTCCATTACTCTGTGCTCCGAGGGCCACACCAAGTCCATCGCAATTTCGTGAATCCGCAACTCCGCTGACCACTGAATCCACAACATAACTAGCACAGCCGTAGCCGTAGCCATCACGCACGCGTCCATCGTCTACCATCAGTCCATCATCCATCAGTGGCTTTTAGACATCCGGCAGTCGAGCAAATAAACACCGTCTCCAGCCAGCCAGTTAGGCTTGTGAAATCGTCGAAAACCAACGCAACAGTGGGTTAATTGTCAAAAAGCGGGCCGAAAGCTTTGATTTTGTTTTTTTTTTACGGTTTCTTGTGTGTTTTTTTCTTCAATCGACGTCTAACGGGCAGCTCCAACCAGCTCCACAATGGCAACACCGCAAGAGGGTAAGTAATGGCGGGACGGGGGCCATGGATATTAGGGATGGCTGTGCGCATACTCCTAGCGATCACTGTCCCGTCAGGTGGTGGCGCCCTTCAAACGCGCTCTTCGCCTGGGGTCACCTACAAAATCGGCCGGTCGGGCGGGCTCTGCTCAGCTCTGCTCTGGACTGTCTTATCAGAAGCTGTTCAATCTTCCGCTTCGCTCTCACTCCCCCCAAATTATCTACCGATGACGTCGAGTTGTTGTTTTTACCGTAATATTCTCATTGTTGTTATTGGTATTGTTGTTAAGAGCACCCACTCACCATTTAAGATTAGAAGACCAGGCCAGGCCAGGCCAAGCTAGGCCAGCAATAACCTTCCGGACGAAGTGAGAACATAAGCGGCCGTGGCAATGACATTGGGAGTCGAGTACATTCTACACGTGAATAATAATTAGCCGCCCAGTGGAGCAGGCCTTTCGAAAACTGGCTAATCCGCTCACTTCTCGGCTAATTTATTACGAAATTTCACATATATATGTACATATGTTCAGTATATGGTTAAACCTTTCCTCTCTTCCGACTCTCTTGCGACTCTTTCTCTTGAACCTTGGCTATGATCTCGGCCTGGCTCAGGGTCCGGCTCTCCTTGCCCCAATGCCTTCGTCTGGTCAATGTCAGAAGCGATTTGGCCGCAATTGTTGGCCTGACTCACGATCGAAGGAGCCAGCCAGTCGGTCAGCCACGAAAGCTGACTCACTAATACACTGAGAAAAAAAATTAAACCAACTCTTTGAAGCTAAAAAATAGAGAAAAATTATTATAGATTTCAAAATATTTTATCTTCAAATATTAATATTGAAAAATATAACTTTTATAATGCCTTTGAAAAATTGAATAAAATAATCAATTATTTTGAAGCTTCTGAAGAATTGGTATACTTAAAGATAATATAAATATATAGTACAAATATTTTAACTTTAGAATATATGTTTTTTAGGTTAATACCCTTTATAAATGATATACATAGGTCAGTTGAAGAACATCATATAATATATACATTTATGAAGTATTTTGCAGTTGAAGTTATCTTCGACCTTCAAATATACCTTCTCAGAAGGTGAAGGTTGTTTTAATTGATTTTATATATTTGTGAAATAGGATTTAGTTGGGGAATTTTATCTAGAAGTATTTAAAAAAAATATAAATCCTTTGTTTTTGAAAATAAATACCGTTACCAAGTAGAATCATAAAAGTTTTATAGATCATGCTTTTTTAAAAACTTTACCATTCCAACAATATTAAAAATATTAAAAACCTACCTAACCTTAGAAGACTAAGAATTGATCTAAGAACTATGGATTGGAACTATGGAGAACTGATCTAAGAACCATAGATTGGAAGGACTTGTAAAGAGATTTTAAGCCTATAAAAATTTTGTAACCTACAAAAATATATGTATTATTTTAAAGTCTTTTTATTAATTTCTTGGAAATATATTTCAAGTTTAAGAAAATACTGTTTCGGTCTTGAAAGTATATAAATATATATATTATTTTCTATATAATCACTTGAATATAGCTTCGTGTCTTTCTAATCTCAGATAGAAACTGAAATTTTGTAGACTCGCGTGATGCCCACGCAGATCAACTTGAATTTTGCACTTTGTTGGTTTTCAGGGTTATTGAATTTAAATCTTAAATTACTTTCATTTTACTTTCAATTTTTTTGTAATATTTTATGAGTGTGTAGATATTTGTCCTCTAAGATTATAGGATCAGCTTATAGGAAGTCTATTAGTTTAGCCCCAACTGCTTTAAGAAAGTAAAATGGTTCTTATTATGCACAGCAGGTATTTATATAGATTTTAAAGGTTTTTTTTTATTTTTAAAAGTAACCATGACTTTCAAAAGTTTACAAAACCACTTTAATCCCTAATGGTTTTCTATTTTTCGATAAGAAATACATCATATTTCGAAAATGTAGAACCAACTTATAGAGTATACTTTCTAGATGGTTCTTATTTATTATTTTATGATTAATAAAAAATAAGAATATTAACAATACCTCTGCGATTGGTAATTTTAATCTTAAAAGTATTAATGGTTTTTTGAATTTAAACCGATTTCTTGTATTTCCAATACAAAGCAGCCCAAAAGTATGCTACTTCTGGGGAATAACAAGCTGTTCTCCAACAGATCTTTCTCCTATGACCGCCCACCAGCCCTGGAGACGGAGGCTGGAGCGTCTTCCCTTCTATTCGAGATCGGGAACTCAACTGAGGCTGTGGCATCTGCCGCCTAGCCGAAGCCCAGATTCGGATATATATGGTATTTATATGGCGTGTGCACTTTGTGCCGACGCTGGCGTTGACGTTGACTTCGCTGTTGGCGTTAGCGTCTGCGTCGACAGCGTCGCTTACACCTTTTCAAAGTCAAGCACAGCGCAGCAGTTTATTCGCTTTGTGCAACCGCATCGAAAGATACACTCGCGCACCTGCCGCGAGCTGAGCTTCCGCACCTGGCCCCACCTGGTCTGCTCTGGTCTCTGCTCTGGTCTCTGATTTCCGATCCACCACCCCTCCAGAGTCTCGCAACGGAGATTCGGAGGTGACCTCTGACGGGTGCCCCCCCCCCAAGCGGATAGTTGTCCAGTCATTCTCGTCCAGTTACGATTAGACAACGGATCGAACGGCCTTATCGAGTGCTTATCTTCCGGTTGGGTCTCTGCTCTAAAATTCGGCACCGTGTCCCGCCTTTAAATAAGGTCACCCGAAGACCATAGGTGCTCACTTTCCTCGAGGCACTCGGTGAGTTCCCAGTGGCTCCAAGGGCATGGGTCATGGTCAAGATATTCGCCTCCAGAACCGCTGGTTACGATGAGGTCTGGAACGATCTGGAAACGTCCAAGGTTCTATATTATTTTAAAGGGATTTGAATCTTGAAACCCCTTCTTCAAAACGGGAATGAGAATCTGCAAGAATTCTACATCTCTTAACCCTATGCCCTCATCCTCAGATCACTCCACCCTGGACGTCATTATCAAATCACTCAAGTCCTCCAGCATGGCCTGCGAGGGGACTCACTTCGATGGCAAGATCCCGCACACGTTCGTCATCTTCGGAGCGTCGGGTGACCTGGCCAAGAAGAAGATCTACCCGACGCTGTGGTGGCTCTACCGGGACGATCTCCTGCCCAAGCCCACCAAGTTCTGCGGCTATGCCCGCTCCAAGCTAAGCGTCGACCAGATCGAAGAGAACTGCCGCCAGTACATGAAGGTGAGTTGGTAGTCTAGTCCGTGTCCAACTGAAGCTAATGATTCGCTCTTGAAGGTCCAACCCCACGAGGAGACCAAGTACAAGGAGTTCTGGGCCCTCAACGAGTACGTAGCTGGCAGCTATGATGGACGCACCGGCTTCGAGCTCCTCAACCAGCAGCTGGAGCTCATGGAGAACAAGAACCGGGCGAACCGCATCTTCTACCTGGCCCTGCCCCCCAGTGTCTTCGAGGAGGTGACTGTCAACATCAAGCAGATCTGCATGTCTGTATGGTAAGTGAGGGTCAGTCCAGGAATGGAATCAGTACTCACGTCTGGTTTTTATTGCAGCGGCTGGAACCGCGTCATCATCGAGAAGCCCTTCGGACGGGATGATGCCTCCTCGCTGGCGCTGAGCGATCACCTGGCCAAGCTCTTCCACGAGGAGCAGCTGTACCGCATCGACCACTATCTGGGCAAGGAGATGGTGCAGAATCTGATGACCATCCGCTTCGCCAACAAGATCCTCAGCTCGACCTGGAACCGGGAGAACATCGCCTCGGTGCTGATCACCTTCAAGGAGCCCTTCGGCACCCAGGGACGCGGCGGCTACTTTGACGAGTTCGGCATCATTCGGGACGTGATGCAGAACCATCTGCTGCAGATCCTCTCCCTGGTGGCCATGGAGAAGCCGGTCAGCTGTCACCCGGACGATATTCGTGACGAGAAAGTGAAGGTGCTGAAGAGCATCGAGACCTTGACCTTGGACGACATGGTGCTGGGCCAGTACGTGGGCAATCCCGCGGGCACCACCGACGACGCCCGGAACGGCTATTTGGACGATCCCACCGTGAACAATGACTCCAATACGCCCACCTACGCCCTCGGAGTGCTGAAGATCAACAACGAGCGCTGGCAGGGCGTGCCCTTCATCCTGCGCTGTGGCAAGGCGCTGAACGAGCGCAAGGCCGAGGTACGCATCCAGTACCAGGATGTGCCCGGCGACATCTTCGAGGGCAGCACGAAGCGCAACGAGCTGGTCATCCGCGTCCAACCGGGCGAGGCGCTGTACTTCAAGATGATGACCAAGAGCCCGGGCATCACCTTCGATATCGAGGAGACGGAGCTGGATCTTACCTACGAGCATCGGTACAAGGACTCCTACCTGCCCGACGCCTACGAGCGTCTCATCCTCGACGTCTTCTGCGGCTCCCAGATGCACTTCGTCCGCTCTGACGAGCTGCGCGAGGCGTGGCGCATCTTCACACCCATTCTGCATCAGATCGAGCGGGAGCGCATCCAGCCCATTACCTATCAGTATGGCTCCCGCGGCCCCAAGCAGGCCGACGTCAAGTGCGAACAGAACAACTTCAAGTACTCCGGATCGTACAAGTGGCACGGCGGCAGGCCGAACACCTCCAATCTTTAGGGATGGCCTTCGGTTGGGCTTTCGGCGCACACAGAGCACACGCACAGGATAAAACTTTGGATACTCCTTCTCTCTGTCCTTACACATACATATTTTAATTATGTACTTTTTTGGTTATTTTTAATTTAATACGGGTTGTACAAGAATGTTTTTTTTTAAATATACGATCTAGAATTTAATTAAGGTGCTTATTTTTTACTTCTTATATATATATATATCATTATTATACCAACTCAGAGGGTGTTACGCAGCGAAGGATACATCTCCGACCCTATAAAGTGTATATGTATGTATATTCTGGATCAGGATCACCTCCTGAGAATATATAAGCTATATATAGCTTTTCACGCAGTTTATACAAGTCGGAAGAGCAGGGATCGGCCGACTATATCCTATAGCTTCCATATAACTGATTGATCCGAAATGCTATAACTGTGATGTTTTTGGAGTTGGAGAATTGAGAATTCCTATGGATTCCATTTGGTAAAAATACCAACTTTGGTATTTTTGAAGATAAAAGCTTGGGGACGAGGATTAATTACGAGGATTTAAATTTAAAATATTTTAAAAACTGTTTTTATTGGGTGTATTTTGGGTATATAGTATATAATTAGGTATATAATACTATTTGGGTAGCACTTCAAAAGACAAATTTAAAAGTGAAATCTAAACTTTAAATAGAGAAAAAAGACAAGATTCACCCGAATATTTTATAATATTTATAATATAATTTAATAGCACAATATTTACAATTGTTTTGTTCTTTTTTTAAATGATTTTAGTCTTAAAGTGCACTTTTGGGCATTTTTTGTGCAATTTTCATTTTTCTGAAAATGAAAGATACTTCTCTTTCTTAGAAGAAAGATTGTTTCTTATCCAATTTGATCGAATCTCTAGATCGGATCTTGAATCAAAAATAAGGTTTGGAAATACATATTTATTGTGTGCCTAGAACCAAAAATAGAGAACCAAAAATAAAAAAAAAATTTAAAAATTTTCAATATATTCTTTTATTTTTGTTTTTTTGTGGGCGGTTGACAACAAAAAAAAGCTTTTTCGTTTTAATGATAATGCCAAGAATAGTGTTTGTTGATTCCATAGTGCTGGGTCGGAGGAGGAGAGAGATCTCAGTGCGCTCTCGTTCATCATCCCAAACGGATGACTCTTGTGGCAGGATCCTTAAGCCCAGCTTGACATATTTTAGAATAAGAATAATTTTTTTATATTATAATAATGATATTCCATGTTAATCATCCGATTCATAAAGCTCCGTTTTAAATATTGAGGTGATAAGACTGCTTTGGGGCTCCTAGAGTGGCGCTTTAGGGGAGAAGGGGGGCTGGGGGCAATTCCACAATGCTGATAACGCTCGCGATGATCTGGGCTTTCAGTTTCCTCTAAAGCAGTACGGTTTCGTTATTCATCTCATACGGATCGGTTCAGTGTGTCGAGGGCTCTCTGACCTTCACTGGTACGCGACTCAGGAATAGGGATTAAGCTGATCATAAGCCGATCTTAGCCATGATGCTGATGCAATCCCAGCTGATTAAGAAGCTGAGCAGCTGCCTTCTGCTGGTGCTGCTGATCAAGATTAGGATCATGAACGTAGTCGGTGATGGAGTTTGCAAAATGGAGCTCAGTAATGACATACTGATGGCGGGAAAGGACTACAACGTATCCTGCATTTGCCCCAGGGCAGATCTATCTCTATGGGTTGACGATGAGGAAATGGATCCGGTTAATGATACCTATGGCCAGGTCCTTGGAACCGTTAGAAACGCCACGGTCGGCTGGAACGAATTGAAGTGCTATTCGGGGAGATTAGAAAGTAAGTTGCTGTTGGATTGCAAAGAAGTAGTCGTGCGGATGAAGGTGGATACGGAGAAGATCGAGTGCCGTTTAATCGACACCAACATTAGTTGCGTCTTCGATCAACCGGATCCGGAAGATGCCTGGAGCCAAACCAATTACCGTTTAAGGTACCTCCAAGAGCACAAAAAGTCTGTGCCGTGCCAGCGACAGAACAACACCAGCCGGTTGCGTTGCAGCAGCTTGGAAGTGGGAAAGTTTAAAACAGAGTATCTGCTCTTCCTGGACACCTACAACGACAATAATGAAGTTCTTTACAATCAGAGCTTTTCACGTTATGGCAAGGAGATTGAAGTGCTCCAGTGGGGTACATTGACCAATGTAACCACAAAAGTGAACCACACGTGCATCTTCTGGCGGGCCTCCACCACGAATAGCACCAACAAAATTGAATGGCACGTCCATCTGAATCCATCGAATCCAAACCTACAGCCCGAGTATTATACGCTGGATGACCCGTATCAGCGGGATCGAATCTATCTGGAGTTTTGCTTTCCGACACCCATCTGGGGCAACCAGAACTACGAGGTGACGCTCAAGCGACGTATAAAGCCGAGCGGTCCCTGGTCGGAGCCGCATCCCCCGATCAACTTCACCACCCTGGGCATACCACCGGCCCGTCCGCCCGAGATGGTGCCCAACGGCTTCTCGTACTCTCCCAAAACTCAGAGACTTCAGGTCTTCTGGCTGCGGATTAATGAAACGGAGTACAACGGCGTCAACATGACGTATTTGGTGACGTTGGACGACAAAAGGTGAGTAATCCTTATAATCCGGACTCTTAAACTCTAAAAACTATATCCGATTTATAGAAATGCTACCAAGCTGTTGAGCAACATCTCCGCCAGCTTCGATCACTGGCATCTATCCTGGAGAGCCAGCATCCAAATAGTTAGCCACAATGCCAATGGATCGTCCGAGCAAGCCATGCGGCTGGCAGTGCCCACACTATCCTACGCCGAGGAGCACCAGCCCCGGAAACTTCGCTGGGAAAACACCACCTTGAGGTGGGATGAGCCAGAAGATACCAACCATCTGACCGGCTACATGGTATACTGGTGTTTCCCGTCCTTGAATAAAGATCAGATCTGCAACGATAGTTATCCGATTGAATGGCACTCTGTCGATGGGAACAGCTACGAGTTCCAGTCGAAGGAACTGAAAAAGGTGGCCGTGTCGGCCAATTACGGTAACAATTCCACCGGAGGCATGGTCTGGCTAGGCGATCCAGACGACAGCATCCTTCAATCAGGTCCCACCATCGTGGCCATAGTTGTCCTCATAATCTTTGCTGTCTCCATTGTGCCCGCCACAGCCGCTTACAGGGAGATCCAAAAACAAATGGACATCGAAGTGGTATTGCCAGAATACCTGCAAAACATCTATATTGCAGAAAAAAACAAGGAGAATTCGGCCTCTGACTCCGAAGACAAAAAAAGAATCTTAGATCTTTCAGATCTAGTGCCGGGTAAGTCGCTGAAGGATTTACCATCGAAATCCCTGCCAAAGCCGCAAAACGACATTTCCAAGCTGCAGAGGAGGCTCCGAAATGCAACCTTGATAGTAACCAATGATGCATATGTATCGCAGGACGCAGAATCAATGGATTTCTTGCCAGAGTCGAGCCAAGGTTTCGTTAGCCCACCATCCGTGCTTGTAACCAATTATAATTACGAATCCCAGGACATGCTATTACCCAATAACGGTTACCTTACCCCACCATCCGTGGGATCCATAAGCACAAATGATACTTATGTATCGCGGGATACATTCAATTCTTCGCCAGAATCGAGTATCGGTCGTGACCCACCACCACCATCGAAGTCGTCCATTCTAGATTCAAATATCGGTTACGTCCTCCCACCACCACAGAGGTCCTTGCTAGATTCGAGTATGGGTTACGTTCTCCCACCACCACAGAGATCCTTGTTAGATTCAAATATCGGTTACGTCCTCCCACCACCACCATCGAGCTCCTTGTTAGATTTAAATATCGGTTACGTCCTCCCACCACCACCATCGAGGTCCCTGTTAGATTCAAGTTACGCTCTCCCACCACCACCGGGACTATCACGACCACCACAATTGCCATTATGGAATTCTTCGCCAGATTCGAATATCGGCTACGTTCTCCCACCACCACCGGCACTGTCACAAGCTCCTCGATGGCGACTATTGAACTCCCCACTAGAATCAACCAACGGCTACGTTCTCCCACCACTACCGTCACTTTCACGAGCACCACAATTGCCATTATGGAAATCCACCCTAGATTCGAATAACGGTTATGTCCTCCCACCATCCTCCCACCACCCACCTAATAATAGTTATTTATCGATGGACACGATATTACGAGGCCCACGGACTCTTACGAATTCCTTGCCGGAGCCCAGTTATGTTCTCGCTCCACCGGAACGGGCACCATCACTGCCACCTCCACTGACCAGTCCATACCTTGAAATGAGAACTGTACAGAACCAAGATCCACCTAGGAACGACATTGGATATTGCCCCTATAACCCCTAAAGGACATTCTGCCTAGTATCCTTGTAAATATTATTTGTATAATATGTGAAAGTACTTTCTTAATGAATTATTTTTTTAAATTTAAATTGTATTATTTAGCTCAAAATGTTATGTTATTTTAAGTTATTCGATTTAATTTTAAAAATAAAACAAAACTAAAAAAAAAAGGGTTTATGATGTTTTGATTTTTTTTTTAAATCTTACGGGTTTTTTAAATCTCTCTCCTCTGTTTTTTGAATTTTTTTAAAGCTATAGATACATTTTTTAAAGATATAGATAATTATATCTACAAAAATTACAACAATTAGGATGAAAAGTTTATAATTTGTTTCTAACTTTCGCCTAAAATAGGACCAACATTTTATTTTAGGATATTTTTGGATATTTTTTATCTCTTAATGTTCTGATTCATAAATGGTATTCCGTTTTCAAATCGTTTAAAAAATTGATATGATCTTCACTAAAAATACTTTCAAATGTATCGGTTTTTCAAAATATTTAAAAATCCTCTTAAAGGACTTATCTTGAAGGCCTGACCGATGTGTTTACCTTGGAGGTCCTTCTACAGGGTCATCGTGAGCCATCCTTTCCAAAGGTCCTGAATACCCCGACGATTAGTTGGAAAAGTGTACCCACACTCGCGGAACTGGGTATCAAAACTAGACAGGTGATGTTCAAGACTGTCTTGATTCTAAATGTAGTCTCCTTTATATGTAATTTTAAAATTTAAACAGCATGCTTACGGAGTAAAAAAAATATTCTGAAAGTCTGTATACAAACATATACAGTAGTGCCCTTATCGTCGTGACATTTTGTAATCCAAATCCATGTATGTATGTACATATGTATATATAAGCTTATTAATAGAACATGTATTAAAAAAAACGTTTTTTTCAACAGATTAAAAAATGTATATTATAAAAATGTATGTATGCAAAAAATAAATGTTTCTCACAGCCCAGAAAATAAATATATTCTTTTATAAAAATAAGGGAATCAACTTTCGTAATACCAAACTATGCCCAAATTTAAGTTAAATCGGTGGACTATGTTTTTGTAGCTTTCGTATATTCCATAATTTTCGATTAACTTCCAGGAATTTTTCTAATTTTTATAAGAAACGGAAGACTTATGTTTGTCGACATTTTTTTAGAGTTAAATGGTTTTTTTAGGTGGAATTTTAGGTTTTTTTTGACTAATTTTTAATAAAGACTTTATTATCATATAGAGAATATTAATTTTACTTACTAAATACTTTCCACATCCCCCAAAAAAGTATTAAATACATATACATATGCGTCTCTAAAGTTTTTGAACATCGGCATCTTTTTTTGTAATTTCCGGATGGGGGCAAGGTTTAAGAAAAATATTGATCTTTAGTACTTTACTTCCAAGAATTTCATTATCATTGTTTTCTGGAGGTTTTTTTGGGGATGTTGGTTTCTCGGAAATTGCAAAACACTCGGAAAGTTCAATTCAAATAGATAACGTCTTTTCTTCGGGATTTCCTCTGGAAGATTTGGTTTCCTAATTCTATAAAATACTTATTCTCTAAAATAAAATATAACTTTTCTAACAAGAAAAGGGAAGCTAACTTCAGGTGGGGCTAAAGATCGGATATATATTTGCGACTAAGATCGTGTATATATCGCATATGTCGGATATAGTTGCCCGATCCTTATAGAATACAATACATATTAAAAAAAAAGTCCCAAACTTTTATCTTTAAAAAGAAAGTTAAGCTTAATTCGGGCGGAACCTAAGATTATATACCCTTGGAGGTAAAATCGTATATATACATATATCGCAAATATCATATATAATTGGCCGATCCTTGGAACATAATTGGATCATAATAAAACCAATTTATTTTGAAAAAAAAATCCTAAACTTCTATCTTTGAAAATACCAGAGCTGGTACTTTTAGCAAATACCAAATTCCGATCGTTCAGTTATATGGCAGCTATAGGATATAGAAGGTCAATCCTAAGGAAATTCGTTAGCTTCGATCTCTCTTTAGGGTAATTGGGCTAGTTGGGTCATTTCCGATCTTTTAGATATATTTATGGCAGCTATAAGATATAGTCGGCCGATCTAATAAATGTAGGTATCTCTAACTCTAAAAACACCTCATTTATAACATTTCCGATCAATATGGCAGTCTGAGTTACACCAAAAGCATGATTTTATCTTAAGATTCATATTTTAAGAAAGGAATTTTGGCCACAAAAAGTGGTGGTTGACCCCATAGTGCGCCACAAAGCTTCGAAGCCCAAAATAAAACACAATAAAATATTTAAAATTACACATACAACATTTGTGTATGATTTACATAGGATATATCATTATTATTAAAATTACTTTTATCCATAATATAATAAGCTCGACCTTTTCTTTTTGTTTGCATTCTCGCGGACACGCGGATATAGTTTCAGTTGTTAAGTGTACAAATAAGAATATATATTAAAAAAATACTACAGAGTTACAAATACTTCGTCTGATGTGCCTCGGGTCTCGTGCACGCCTCGCCTCGAAATACAAAATAAATTATGAACGATGGGGTTTTGCAACTAATTACTTATAAAGAAAAACAGAGCTGCCCGGGATTCGGATACGGATACGGATTCAGATACAGATACAGATACGAATGTGGATGCGATTGCGGTTGCGGATGATCCGATGGCGTGGCTTAGAGTAAGTGTTATGCAGATGTTTTGGATGAGAGAGCATGGGATTGCGCTGATTGGATGGATGCGATGGTTGCCAGGGATGGCATCGCACACGTTGCGATGAGGGGATGCTCTGTTAACTTAGAGGACATGCCGGTTGTGTGCCAGGGCGTTGAGGTCCTGGGGCGTCACATAGCCGTTGATCTGCGGCTGGAGGCGAGAGTGTTGTCCGGGCACAGAGCCCGGATTGCCGCCACCCACTGTCGCATCGCCGGCAGTATGCGACGGCGAGCCCATCGCATGGGGCAACGGCGACTTCATCAGCCCCGTCAGCTGCAGCTGCTCCATCGTGGTGTATCCGATGTCGGCGGGCAGTTTGGGCGGCCCAGCAGGCATCACTGGCGGCAACTGACGCAGTGGCGCGACCGGTGGCAGGGATCCTGCAACTGTTGCTGGTCCAGCGTTGGCACCACCACCGCCGGCTGTTGAGGCTGGGGCGAGGGGTTTCAGCTTGTGCAGATCCGAGGCCTGCACGTAGTTGTCCGTAAGCAGGTGGGCCGGTGGAAAGAATGTGGAGGCAGCCGTGGCAGTAGCTGCGGCGGTGGACTGGGCCGGGGCAGGCGCCAGATTCGGAGCAGTGCCAAAGCCTGGAGCTGGAACTGATGCGGGGCCAGGACCGGGGGCGGGGGCAAGGCCGGCGGACGGCATCGAGGCCATAGCTGGGCTGGGCCGGGACTGCTGAATGGGCACAGGTACGTAGCCGCTGATGGGGACACGGGGCGCAACCATGGGCATGGGCATCGGCATCGGGTTGGCTGGGAATTGTCCATTGCCCGCCCAGTTCTTCATCTGTGTGGGCTTGATATATCCATTGCCGGCGCCTCCCTGTTCCCGATGCTTTTCCGGTTCCGTTTCGCTCTGCTGCTGTTGCAGTTCCCGCGCCCGCTCCTGCTCGCGCTCTCTTTCCCGTTCCCGCTCACGCTCCTGTTCCCGTTCCCGTTCCCGCTCCTGCAGGAGGAGGCCGTGCCGCATCGCTACATAGCTCGCCGGGGGGGCTGCGCCACTTATGGGTCCTGATTCCGGGTGGTCGACGTAGATGTCGCGATCGGCGCAACCACCGCCGCCCGACGAGGAACCGGTGCGTCGCAGCAGCTTCGAGCTCTCGCTGCCGCAGCTGCCAAAGTCGTGGGGCAGGTCCTGGGATGTGTACTGCGGCGAGTCACCCACCATGGTGCAGACGATGCCGCCGCTAGAGATGTCGGGAGTCATGCTCTGGCCCAGACCACCCATCTCGTTCTTCTTCAGTGTCTCCATAATACCCGGTGGCAGCACCAGACCTATGTCCGACATCTTACGGTACTTCTTGTAGACCAGATAGAAGATGACGCCCAGCACCAGGATGGCCACGCACACCTCGATGGTCTGGTACATGGCCTTCAGGCTCTGGGTATCGGGCGTACAAATGAATCCGTAGGTGCCCCACTCCGAGCTGTGCAATCGGTAGGCACTGGCATTCGCGCGGTACTCCGAGTACCGCTCTAGCTCCTCCTCGACCAGTGCATCCGTCCGCGGATCACAGCTCTGCAAGCTCTGTCCCTGGCCCATAAACGACAGTCCAGCCATCAAGGTGGTGGCTTCTAGTCCAGCCTCCAGCTCCTGTTGCTGATGAGAAGGCAGCTGCTCCACATTGATGGCACGCACCGCCAGCTGGAAGGGATTGTGGCTGGTGCAACGGGGTGTGGGCATCACATAGGAACGATTCTTGCCTGACAGGATCAGGCTCATCAGGCAGCTCTCGTTGTTGTCGCGCAACGAGATCTCATAGTAGTCGATGCGCCCTGCTGGTATTCTGGGTCGACTCCAGTCCAGACGCGAGGTCTGATCCTTGTTGTTGCTCACAAATAATGATGGAGGTGAGGGGACTGGAAGTGGAAAGCCAAAGAATTAGTCGGAATTTCAATAAAAAAAAAATAATAAATAACTAATCTTATTTAGAAATTGGGATGAACACTGATGACTCTGGATTTATGGGTATAGACCAGATAGGCTTCCAAGAAGTGAGCCATAAATTCTAATCTTGTCAGACCTCGACGTCAGGGTAGAGTTCAAAGATCAACACGTGAAAAGATTTGGAAACCCAAGCTTTGAAAGCTTTACTTTTTGGGAAGGTTATCCTATTTAAAGCCGCCGGCTACTTGAAGCGTCTTGAGTGTCTCTGGGGAGCTCTCGAGAGTAGCCCGAGAAGCGGCTCCCCTGGGGGCTCTCTCTTGGGAGCAATGCTCGCAGGTCTTAACCTATAGAAACCCCCCCTCCCTGGGACACCACTCACCTCCAATGGCTGTGACAAACTCCACCAGATTACTGGGCTCTGAGGGATACAGCGTCTTGGCCCGTAGGGTCACCTCGTACCGCGTAAAGGCCGTCAGGTTGGCCAGCGTAAAGGCAATGAACTTCTCCTTGTCGACCAGCTCGCCGGCTGATGCCGCCACCCGAAAGTCTTCAACCAGACTGTAGTCCGACTCCAGGGAGCGGAAGGTGCCCTCGTAGGTGCGCACCACACCGTTGGCCCGTAGCGGCGGCTTCCACGCCAGTCGCACACTGGAGCTGTCGACGCGCAGAACGTGCAGTTCGCGGGGCTGGCTGGGAGCAGCCTCACCGGTCCGGTTCACCAGCTCGTCACTGTACTTGCTGGCCCGCGACTCCGAGAACATGAGCATCTTGACGCTGTAGTCCGTGTAGGGGACCAGGTCGCGAATAATGTACTGCCTGGCGTCACGATCGTGGATCACTTCGGTGGTGCAGTTGTCCGGCCGGCCAGTAGAGCGCTGGCAGTAGGTGAGGTTGTAGCCCGACAGGATCACCGGACAGACGCGCTGGGTGCTCCACTTGACGGTCAGGCTGGAGTTGCTGGCCGCGTCGATCGACGGCTCCAACTTGACGAGGTCGTCCTTCTTGTCGCTGCTGCAGATCAGCCAGCGCAGGCCCGTGTTGTGGGTGCGGTAGTTGGCCGACACGGCCATGTGAAGCGTCGGCAGCTGGTTCTTGGCCGTGGTGAACAGCTGCTGGTCGTAGGCCACCTCAGCGAACCGTATCGATCCCTCGCACTCCGACAGCAGGCCCGGCTTCGGTACACACCAGAACACGGTGTAGTTGGTGAGTTCGTGGAGGTCCTCTGGCGGCTCCCAGCTGAGGGTGTAGCTGTTGTTGCTCGAGTGGTAGACGCTGCGGATGTTCTTGGGCACACGGAAGCGGAAGTCCTCGGCACTAATGGGTCCTATCGACATCCGGGTGGCGTTCACCGACACGCCCATGCTGTTGCTGCTGCGAATAAGGATTTCGTAGTGGGCGTTCTGTTTCCATCCTTCGATCAGGGCGGAGTTGGAGAAGACCTGGATGAGATTGGGGTCCCTGGAAGGATTATTGGGATATTATTAGTGTCGGAATACCAAGTTTCTTAAGATTCTTCAGGGAACTGAATTCTGAAGAAGTTTCTCCATAGTTCAGTGAGGAATTCCCTGATCTCTAGTTACAAGTCCCATCTGGAGCTCCCCCTTAAGTCATACAACCTATCACAATGAAGTCTGGAAAGCCCCAAAGACCACTAGTCACTTAGGATTCTTTAGGGAACTGAATCTGTAGATGATTCCTAAGGATTCCCGCCATTTAGTTTAGTTCAAAAATAATGATAGACCTCCCCCCTTGAGTCATAACACTTATCTCCACGAACCTGAAGATTGTGAAAAAATCTGGAAAACCCCAAAGGCCTCTAGTAGTCGTTTCTGAATCAGAAATTCATATACTATCATCTATATACTATATGAAATAATAACAAATATCGAATACCTTATGAATACCAAGATTCGTGGTGGCTTGTTAATTTTTAATGTCAAGAAAAACCAGTTGGCAGTTTAAAGAAAAGATATTTAGCAATAAAAAATAAATAAAAATAAAAACAAAGAGATAGCCAACTCAAAAAAAAAAAAGAAAATAAAAATAATAATAAGTTTATTATCTTATTTTGACCAAGCTTTGAGGAGATATGAGTTCCCCAACCTCGTTAAGGCCTATAATCTTATATAAAGACAAGGTCATGATAATAATTATTATGCATTTGTATAATTATTTTAATTTAATTATTTTTTTTTAATTCATTAGAATTTGTTTTGATATTCCCTACTAGGCAATACATTTTTAAAGATTGACAGACCGACCGACCAGACAGTTCCCGGGAAGCTCTTATTTTATTGAGAAATTCCGAACTTTGCGTCATTCCACGAAGGCACTTTTTGATAAGGGGGAGTGGTGGCTCACTAATTAACATCCATCAATGATGATCATCATCATGATGATGATGACGATGATGGAGGTGATAAAAGATTACCACGAACAGCGTGCCATCGAAATCAATAAGAGCTCCTCCTCGCACTCGAGGGTAGAAAGACAGTTTCAGTCTAAATTTCAATTGAATTCGAATTAAAAAAAAATTATTAAAAAGAATTTCCAATTTCCAATTAAAAAAAATTAACAAACAAGACAAAAGCAAGACTATTTCCTATGAAATATTCTCTGGATTCTCTCTGTTTCTCTCGAATATTTGTATACCCCTTTCTGTGGAATCTATAGGCAATATTCAATTGAAATCGTTTCTATTATTTTGCCTGCAGCTGTAGATATATATATATATATTGCATCTGGTTGCCCCCCCTCTCGGTTTCAATTCCGGCAAAGTGGCGGTAAACAGAAGCGGAGATACCGCGAATCCGCCTCTGGAATGGATATATCTATCATACAGGGTATGTGAGCGGGTTTCCTTTCCTTTCCTCCGATTTCTCTTATAGTGCATTCGAGCTAAACAGCCCATACAGCCATATATCCATCTATCCATATATCCAGCAATCCATCCATCCATCCATCTATCCACCCATCTCTTCTCATTAACGAACGTGTTTTGCGCCCCTGCTGCCTGCTGCCTGCTGCCGGCGCGCATGTGTGAGTGTGCGAGGCACTTCGGGCGAATTGTTGTTAAAAATAAACATTTTCATCGGAACCCCAGAACGGGAATGCTGGCTAGCAATGTGGATGGTGATGGTGATGGTGTATGTGCAAATACTACGCCGTAAGACCATACGGATTCGCGAGAAATGAATGAACTTTCGCCCCCAAACTTAAACCCATATCCAAATCCAAACCCACATCCCTACTTACATTAAACTCCCATTGATGCGAAACTCGCTGATGACATATCGAAAGTCCGGTCCGTTCAGCTCCTGGGGCTCCAGCGGCTCCCAGTAGAAGCTCAGATTCGTCTCCGAGGAGTAGACATAGAAGCTGCCGTAGGTGACGCGCGGCGGACGACGCGGACGAGCCGGCGCCGTGGCGAACTGATAGACAAGCGGCTCACTCCACATGGTGTTGTTGAGATTGATGCGCACCTGCAGGTGCAGTGTGTAGTTGTAGCCGGCGAAGGGGAGTTCTGTGAGACAGAGGATGTCCTTGATGGTGGTGGTGTTGTTGCGCCAATAGCTACGCTGGAGGGGACTGAAATTTTGGGGGGCGACGTGCACCAGCCAGGCCAAGCCCCGGAGATAGGTGGTGCGACGCGGCACATCCCACGACAGGCAAATGGAGCTCTCCGTCAGGTTGACCTTGGATATATTTTGGCCGGGACGAGCCGGCACCGAACGCTCGTAGTGATTGACCGTGATCTCCTGGACGTCCTGGCCGAGGGCGTTGAACATGTCCAGTCGGAAGTAGTAGAAGTCGTTGAAGCGCTTGTACAGCTCGTTGGTGATGTTGCAGGTGACCACCGGAGCGGCATCAAAGTTGCACTCCACCGGATAGATGTAGTGGGCGTCCTTCTCGATGGTGAAGGTAACATTGTACCTGGTGATTATCCGGTTATGCGGCTCCGTAAAGTTGCACACCATGTACTCAAAATCGTAGGCCACGCAGCCAAAGTCCTTGATCGGCATGGGCGGTGTTCCCACGTAGACTTTCGATGTGTTGATCACATACTCGCCGCACATGCACGAGTAGTCCTGATCCTGCTCCGATGCGTTCCGGGCGCTGAACAAGATGGTCGTGTCGTTGATCTGGCGGATGTCCGGGATGTTCCGGTACTTCACCGACTTGGACTCGAAAAACAGCTTCTTTACGGAGCACTCCTCACTGGAGATGTTCATCTCGCGCAGGTACGTCTGATTGATGGTGCAGCTAATGTTGAAGTCTGACCCGATGAGCTGCTCCACCTTGACGGGCTCCAGCCAGCCGGGTTCGGCATTGGCCAGGACGTCATGGAGCAGGAGCAGCGGCAAAAGGGCCACAACTAGCTCAACTACCTGCGGTCCCATGGCTACTCCACTGGGTTTGGGTACGGGTTTTGCTTTGGCTGCCCTTTTAGCCCGCTTCCCAGTGGCACTTTATTTTGATGTGGGTACTCTCTCTCTCTCTCTTTCCACTGGCACTCGCACTCTTTCTTACACGACACACAACACGCACACCTTGCTGCTAGCTCGCTGGCTGGCTCGCTGGCTGGCTGGCTGTTGCTTCTGTGTTAGTGGCAGTTCTCGGAAACCGTTTATACACTGGTTCCTGGAAGCAACTCTAACGCATCGCCCTGCCAAGGTGTGTTCTTGTAGTTCGTCTCACTGCTCCCAGTGGGGCCGTAAATGGCCTTTAGGTGTCTCACTTGTGGTTTCTTCCTTGCGGAATCCTAATCCTGACCTGAGTGGCGAAGACGGCGATCACTCAACCCTCCCCGCTCGCGTTGGTGTCTTCGGATTTATGTTTCGTATCGTTTCTGTCTCGAGGCTCAATACCTGTGGCCGATATAAACCAGTGTTGCCACCTTATGAGGTTGAAGGCCCCGCAATGCTGCCACCCAGCCCAAACAGAGTAATTTTAGAGAATTGTTGACCCGGGACGGTTTGAATATAAAACAAAGGACTAATAGCCCACACTTAAGCTATATTTCTGGATATCAATATTCAATTTTACAATAAAGAACAAGTATTTAAAACGATTACTTTTTAAAAATAATATCTGGCTGCCTTGGCCCTCGAATCGGACGACTTGAATTTTTGGCGCGATTTCAAAAAGTTTGAAGGTCCAACATTTCAATTTTAATTAACCCTGAAGGTCGATTTAAGTTATGCATTCATATACGTTAATTATAATGCATCTTAAAAATCTGTACAAGAATATTGCTGAAAACTTAATCATATACAAATAATTTAGGTGATATTTTCATTGAATATTTTCTATCGAATTTGTTGTGTTTATTATTTTTAATGCATTTATGATTTTATTGTTGTATTATTGTTAATATTTTTTTATTTAGTCCTTGAGTTTATGATTTATTACCATATATATAATCATACTATTTTTATTCTATATATTTGGAAATAAATACTAAGTTATGCATTAAGTGTATATTATGTTTTTTTCTTTTTTCTTGATCTTAAGCAGCCACAATTTGTAGTTTACATTTTTACCAAAATTATTCCATTTAAATAAAACATTTTCTTTTTATCCGATTTCGATAAAATTTGCGATTTCTTCTTTTGGCCTTGCCAGACATTGGAATATGCGGGAAAAAATATCGATGGTTCGAAAAACATCGACATCCCTGGCAAAATTCGTCTCAAAAACGCAGTGTGTGTGTGTGTGTGTGCTTGCATGTGTGAGAAAGTGACGAATTACTTTTCATCAAATGGGAAATAATTTAGTTTGAAAACACGTATATATCCAGAGCAGCTGAAATTTACAGTTTGTAAAAATTATTTAGAGACTACGAGCTAAATCGGCAATATAAATTATTCCTGAAACACGACAACTCACCAACGAAATGGCGGAAGGCGGCAGTAAACGCATCAACGTGGTTGTGAAAACGCCAAAGGACAAGAAAACGGTGGAGGTTGACGAAGATTCTGGAATAAAAGATGTGAGTACGGGGCGCGTGACATTTCCGCACTCATTGCCGCATTGCCGCCCCTCTTTTTCGGCCCTTCTTTGCCAATCAATGCCACTGGCACGGGCACGGGCACTGCTACTGCTGATGGTTGCTGGTTGCTGGTGGTGCTGGTGCTAGTGCTAGTGCTGGTGGTACAGTGCACTTCGGCTAAACGATACAGACGGGGTGGCAAAGTGCAAAGCTAGCTAGTCAGTCCAGTGGCTATGCCTCTCTTTCTGTGTGTGTGTGTGTGCGTGTGTTTCGGTTTCCGTAGGTGCTTGGTGGTAGCCCTTGAAAAATCAAGTGGCTTTGAAACGGATCACACAACACAGTAGCCGGTCAGCTTATATTCGTTCTCATTTCTCAAACACTCTCTATTCATCACACAGTTCAAAATTCTGGTTGCACAAAAGTTCGAGGCGGAGCCCGAACAGCTGGTGCTTATTTTTGCCGGCAAAATTATGAAGGACACGGACACATTGAAGATGCACAATATCAAGGACAACCTGACGGTGCATTTGGTGATCAAGTCGCCGACCCGCAACAACGAGGCACCGGCCCGTGCCCCCGCCGATGTGCGCCAGACGCCGTTCGGCCTGAATCAGTTCGGAGGCCTGGCTGGGATGGAGGCACTTGGCGCCGGATCGAACACTTTCATGGACCTGCAGGCCCGCATGCAGAACGAGCTGCTGAACAACGGTGACATGCTGCGCTCCCTAATGGACAATCCGCTGGTGCAGCAGATGATGAACAATCCGGATACGATGCGTCAGCTGATTACGTCGAATCCCCAGATGCAGGATCTCATGCAGCGCAATCCCGAGATCTCGCACATGCTGAACAATCCGGACCTGCTGCGCCAAACGATGGAACTGGCCCGCAACCCGTCGATGTTGCAAGAGCTTATGCGTTCGCATGACCGCGCCATGTCCAACTTGGAGTCGGTGCCGGGCGGTTACAGTGCCCTGCAGCGGATCTATCGCGACATCCAGGAGCCAATGATGAATGCGGCCACCGAGTCTTTTGGCCGCAATCCGTTCGCCGGTCTGGTCGAGGGCGGAGGATCGGGAGCGGGTGTTAACCCCCAGCAGGGTACCGAGAACCGCAATCCGCTGCCGAATCCCTGGGGCGGTGGCGGCACCAACTCCACGACAAACGGCACTGGCGGAGGAGCCGGCGCAGGCACCGGGGGTACGGGCAACCGGACAGGGGACTTGCCCCCAAACAATGTCCTCAACTCCCCAGCCATGCGCAGCCTTATGCAGCAGATGGCGGATAATCCAGCGATGATGCAGAACCTGCTCAACGCCCCGTACACCCGGTCGATGATGGAGACCATGTCGCAGGATCCGGAGATGGCTTCGCGTTTGCTGAGCACCAGCCCTCTGCTCTCAAACAATCCCGCCATGCAAGACCAGGTGCGCCAAATGATGCCCCAATTCATGGCACAGATGAATAATCCGGAAGTGATGAACATGATCACCAATCCAGATGCCATGAACGCCATCCTGCAGATACAGCAGGGCATGGAACAACTACGCAGCGCGGCACCTGGCCTTGTCGGTACCTTGGGCATTCCGCCACCACCACCGGGTGTTAACTCCGCATCGGATCCAGCCAGCGGCGATGGCACCACCACCACTGCTAATAATGTTTCGCCGCCGAGTGGTGGTAATGCCGCATCGACCGCTGGCACCGCCGGCGTCCCCAACTTGGCACCCGGCGGTGGCCCGAATGCCCAGCTCTTCAATGACTTTATGATGCGTATGCTCAACGGTATGTCCAACAATGCGGACAGCACGCAGCCGCCGGAGGTTCGTTATCAGTCGCAGTTGGAACAGCTCGCCGCAATGGGATTTGCCAATCGTGAGGCCAACTTGCAGGGTAAGTCTCTTAGCTTATTGGATGGTGGATTTTTTAAACTAAATGTTGGACCATTTGCAGCTCTTATCGCTACCTTCGGAGACATTAATGCAGCGGTAGAGCGTCTGCTGTCCCTCAACCAGTTGTCCCTGAGTTAACAACGTTAAGCCACTTTCAAAACTGTACACACAACCTGTCTTTATATCTTACAAAACTACAACTATATCTACCACTACAACCTGGAGAATGCTGCGAATACTAGAACGAGAAACGATAACGAGATCACGACGAGAAAAGGAACAAAAAACGAGATCCCCTTATGCCCAAAAAAACACACAACTAACACCCACGAAAACAAGCACACAACACTATCCACAATTGATCAGCGCGCGCTGATTGTTATTCCTATCCACGATGCGGGAACTACCTTGAATCCTAAACGCCCACATACTTATCCTTATCGCAGTCCCTACACCTAACACACAGTCTAAACACACACACACACACACACACACACACAATATACACCTTATTAACGAGAGACGATATAGAAGATCCGCCTAGAGAACGGGCGAGATGAAAGAATCTGTCGGAACGGTGGACAGATCTAGATGATATATATATATATGATTGCATACCAAAGTTTCGACAGTTGCATAGTTGAAGATACTATATATATTTTTTTTTTAATTGTTTAACTTGAAGAGAGAGAGAAAGACGCTCTGTAAGACACCTGAATTACCATTAAAACCTTAAAGCGGAAATGGGTTAAACCACAACATAATCCAATATGGAACATGGCATTGTATTTGCAAGATCATATACATCCAGCCAACCGCAAACATACACACACACATACACATGCAACACACAAACACATCTACAGGCATTCTACACTTGAAGAAAAAAGGAACATTTCACGCATTTAACATTCACTGTTTTATAATAAACTTCAACATTTCTGTGCTCTCGTTTATCATTGTAAATTGTAACCAATATTTTCATGCCGCCACCACCACCCATCCTCCCTCCGCGTGATATCTAGACTTGTGTGCTAAAACAATAAGGTGGGAGATAACGAGTGTGGGTGTTCCTGTGGATCAGTTCGGATGGGATAGGATCTCCTTCTATCATCTGCCAGCCCTCTCCTTTTTCTCGGAAATTCGCAAATCCGTTCTTGTGAATCCAGACAGCCGCAATCAGTGGGACATATACTTTATATATGTGTTTATCTATATGCGAATATATAGATATATTAAATATTCCATGGTGTTAAAAGACGTAAACTATTTAAATTCCTTAGTAAAAAAAAAAAAACAAAACAAAAAAAAGAAGAGAGAACCCCACTTTATCCTTTTATCTTAATCTAGCTATTACTTTGTATTCACACCTGATCGCCGTGTGCTTGGCGAGGGGCATGGGGTAAGGTAGGATGGGGCGACGGGCGGATGTGTCCTCCCCCAGCTTCCTTTCGTCTTGTAGAAGGTGCTGCCCCCCTGGAGAGCTGGAGAGATTGGGAACCGGGTGGGTGGGATGAGTAAGTAAGATGGTAAGCTGGGCCGGGCGATCAGAGATCGGAGCTACTTTTATTCGTTTAGTGGAGGAAGTGAAACTAAGTAACTAATTGTAAATGGTCACATGTTTTAAAACAAATGAATAAAGCTGCTTTGGTTTTAGATAATAGACCCAATCGTTTTTTTACTCGCTCGATCGGCTATGCTCTGTCCTTGTCTATTCCAATCGGCCAGCTATACTGTACAAAGGATACATATTCTTGGACCGGCCAACCGATCCGATTTATTGCAGCATTAGCTTGAGAATACAATTAAAACATATATGTATGTATATTATAATAGTAATTAAGGTCTATGATTAAGGCACTCATACAAACAAAGGCTCAGGCACACACATCAATCGTAAGGCTAGATGGGGTAATCGCGGATGCATAGCTCAAGGACAACGGATCACAGCTCCTCGAAGAAGGCTACACGCGCCTTGGTGCAGCCGGATTTGAGCTTCTTGAGGGTCGAGTACTTGTTCTCGCCAGCCTTGAGCTGCGCCTCGCTGAGTATGTCCAGGTTACTCTGGTTCTCCTCGATCTTGTGCGGAGCTATCTCCGAGCGCAGGGTCTGCAGTTGGTTCTGCACCTGCTTCTTGGACTTGCGCAGGTACTCGAGATGGCTGCGCTCCATTTCATTGGTGATCTGCTCCATCTCGTTGTCGGTTAGTATGAACTCCTTGGGTTCAAAGTCATCAGAAATGCCACTCGAGTTGTCGCCCTGCGCCAGGTAGTGGGTGGTTAGCTCCGCCCCGCCGGCCGTATCTATGTCATTGGTGGAGCTGCTGGTAGCCAACGATGGTGTACTGACTGCGGCCAAACTAGACGCTGCGTTGTTGGACTGCGAGACATGGACGTTGGCAGCAGCCAGCAAACTGTCCGTGGAGGACTTTCGTCCGCTGTTGAGGAAGTTGAGCAGGAGGGCGGTGGCTTCTCGCTCGGCCATCTTGGCGCAGATGAGTTCTTTGCGCAGCTTTTCCGTCTCCGCTTCGCGCTTATCGTTCTCCACCGTCAGCTGATGGACATAGAAGTCGGCGTCCCGGATTTTCTTCTCCAGGTCGTGCTTCTCCCGCTCGATCTTCATTTGGCGCTCGCGCAGCCTGTCCATTTCCGTCTTGAAATGATTGGCTTTGCACTCCGTGAGCTGCATCTGCTCCTCGTTAACGCGGCTCTTTTCGAAATACAGCTCCTTGGTTTCCTCCGAACGGCGCTAAAAGATCAAACAGGTTATATAGTTTCTGAAATGCCAATGGCACTTTAGAGATTACCAGCGCATCGTTGGCCATGCGCATCTCGTTCTGCAAGTGCTCCAGGCTCTTCTCCAGTTCGTAGCGCTCGTGCTCCGCCTTCTCGCGCAACTTTTTCTCCCTGATGAACTTCTTGCGCTCGATGTGGCGCCGTTGCTTCTCCTCCTTGGCCTGGGCTTTCATTTGTTGGATCTCCATGGTGTCGGACTTGCGACGTCTCATATACAGGTCGTGGTTGCCCTCACATAGATCCAAAATCTTCAGAAAAAAGGTGTATAGGTTGAGGGTAAGAAATAGATCATGCTATCGAATCCTTACCATTTTGTTTATGTGCAGATCCTGGGAGTAGAATATAAAGTTTTGGACCTTGGCGTCCACCAGGCGAATAGTGAACTTCTTATCATCGAAGCTGACATGCCGAATCTCATTCCATTGGAACGTTGTCTTTGGCGTTAGCTTGTTCTGCTCGTCGTAGATGTTCAGGCCCACGGCGGTGACTCCAAGCCACAATTTGGTTTTGTTCTTGTTCTGGAATTCCCCAATTTCAATTAAAACTCGATCCATGGTCATGGATCCAGACGTTAGACTTACTGTTATAGGAAAGTAGTTGACTCCGTACATGTCTAGATCCTGAGCTATCTTCAAGTATTCCATCTCCACCTCGTCTCGCGTCATTGGCTCATGGTCCATATACCTGGCGGGGATTACATATACTTATTGGAGTAACCTCAACCTCCCTGAAATGCCACTACACCTACCATGTTTTAATGCGCTCCTCCCACATCTCGGGCGTCATCTGGTACTGGTCTGTAACGCCCTTGGGCAGGAGCTCGCCGCCGGCCAGCATGCCGTCCTTGTAGGTCTCGTAGTCGTAGGGGCCGTACTGTACGTGCACGGCATAGGAGGCGAGCAGCACGGACGCCTCCGGACGGCAGTAGATGTCCATGGAGAGTATGCTCTGTTTGACCTGCAGGAAGAATAGGTGCTGTGTGATCTCCTGGATCAGCTCCTCGCTGACGTTTTCCGGAAAGAACTTGGCGTAGAAGCTGAACACATAAGTGTTATTGTTGGCCTGGAGGTCGACGCGTTGATCCCGCACCCGCTTGTCCATCTTGAGCCAGGAGACGTTGCTGCGCGTGTCCACATACTGCAGGCCAAAGTACCAGGACTCGCGCAGCCCGATGGTGCGGCACACAAGATCGAACAGGTCCTGTCCCGATGCCCGTGGCTCCAGCTTGAACTCCAGCTCCGAGTCAAAGGTGCTCACCCGCACCGCGAGCGATCGGTTCTTTTTGGAGCCGAACGGACTCATTGCACCGTGGTTATGTGATGTGATTGCTTTCCTCTAGCTGTGCGTGTGTCTGCGTATGCGTATAGTATATGCGTGTGTGCGTCTCGGTTCTGTACATATGCGCCCTTCCAAAGTAACTTGTGGCGTGCAGTGACTTGTTGCTGCTGCTACTGCTGCTCCTTCTGCTAGTGATCCTGATCCTGTGCTAGTGACGCGCTTTCTGTCTGCTGCTCCTGCGACCCTCAATAGTTTCAGACGTCCACTCGCACATATTGCAGCCAATTGGTTTCCTCGGTCAATTGTCTGCCGATGCTCAGCTGAACGCTGAAGGCTGTGCCAGAGAAAGAAAGAGCAAGTGACCTCGCTCATACAGGCGTACAAAATCGCGATGATAATCGCCCTTGGTCTCCCCGACTGCCGGATATTTATTTATTTAGGCCGTAACTGGTCCAGTTGGCTAACCAATCACCAAACAATGCGATGGTAAACAGTTTACACCCTTGACTGCAGAAACTGACATATTTGCACGTAATAATTGTTTGGGAATTCAATGACTTTGCGAAGTGCCCCGCATAAACGCGACCAGTGTGACCAGCTTTGAGCATCGAATAAATTCCAGCGCGAAAGACTATGGAAATAACGCTCAAAATAAAATTTAATTTTAGATTGTTGAAAAAATGATGGTTTCCCGATTCATAGGAATGATGAAAACAATAAATCACGGCCATATTTATTTTTAGATCACTGTATTCTCGTTTTTAATTTAAACAGGTATATAAATAACTATAAGAAAATGAAGGCAGAGCTGCCTCCCCAATTAGCGCCATTTTCAAAAATCTCCATCTGAAGTTGGAATTGGTTTTATTCGTTTAGGTTTTAGCTTATAAATATACGAATAATGTACATATTAGGTGACAGGACCCTGCTTAGACTACATGTGCACTTTTTTGGGGGGGTCGAGGGTCAACTGCTTCTATAAGTCTGTATAAATGTATTTTAGAATTGCTAATGCTTATCACATAAACGCTGGTGCGACATTAAAACATACAAGTTCAACAGATGTGAGAACTACAACTAAACTAAACACTAAAATTTGTATATTTTTGGGAGGAGGGTAAAAGTGCGACCTGAGCAACGATTGGCACGGGACACGCTGGCGATTCGAGAGTGGGGTTTCCGGATGCGTAGCTCCAAGATCCCGACCCTGTATATAATATCTACTGACTGCTGCGCTTAACACGCTCAACATGCAAGTCATACAGCATTTTGTTCTTTTCGTAGTAATATGGATTTTGCTCTGCCCCCAGCTCTGGATTGTATTCAAAAACACGCTCGGTGGCTCCACCAGACACGGCTGGGACTGTTCCTGTAAGCAGGTAGTTGTTGTTATCACTGTTGCCCAGGGGCGGAATGCTACAGCTGCTACTGCTGCTGCTGTTTCCATCATCATAGTTTAGATGAAGATTGTTTATGCGTTTCGAGAGAGGTGTAGACTCACATGGCAGGTCATCTTCCCGGCTGCGTTTCCTGCGAGAAGGACATCAAATCAGCAGTTAGAGAAGGTATAATTGCGTCGCGTTTACCAGTAACAAATAAATCCACTAGGAACAACCTGGCAGGGAATGCAGTTGTTTGTGGTATTTTCTTACCTCGTCTTTATATATCCAGCCATTTTGTATAGCTACAAGTTATTAGTTATATTCGCCTATTGTCTTTCGTTGAGGCCTTTGATTTTTTTTGTTTCTCTTTTTACAGCTGTGGCAGTGTGACCAGATGAACAATGATGACTAGACTCGTCGACTACGCCAAGTGGAATCGATGTATTGTTTTGACAAAATTAGCATCGATGTTTTTTTTTTCGTTGTATTTTATCAAACCAAAACGTATTTAGTCAAGTTATTGGGCCTAGCCATACACTATCATTCATAAAAAGCTAATGAATGGCCGTTAGCTCGTGAGCGTGACGGTCAAATTAGCCGATAACCGAACTATCGTACACAAGTATACGATGCTTCCATCGCCAAGAAGAGAACACGAACTAACACACAAAAGAAAATTTTAGTTTTCCGTACATTTCAAGATTTAAGACCGACCCAGCCCAGAAAAGCGGAAAAAGAGACCGGACACGCCAACGACTGCAATTGCAATCAAACGTAAGTAGATCATGAACGGTGAGGGCCGGATAGCACGGGTATACCCGGGTAACAACTCGACAAATTGCAATTCGAATCAAAAGGAGAAAATTCTGAAGTGAAAAGTTAACGATGACAGTGTGTGTGTGTGTGTTTCGAGTGACGGGTGATGGGTGTCGGTGTGTGTGTGTGATTCGGCATGAGTGTGTGTGCGAATGCGAGTGTGTGACAAATGATTGGGGGGTTCCAAATTTCATTCTTTTTCCGAATTCCAATTTGTAAATAGCGCCTTGGCTTTCTATGTATGTACATCCATTAATTGCCATACTGATCTCGTGCTACCGCAAAACAAGTTTACATCACTAGCCTCCTCTCACACAGCTGCCGTATGCAAAAATTTATGAATAACTTGTGCTTTTTTTTCTAGCCGTTGATGTTGCAGTTGCCGCAGTGGCAGTGGCAATATAAAAAAAAAAAGAAAAATGCATTCAAGTATGTGCACAACACACACACACACCATAGCTAGCAGAGTTATGCGCCCCTATATGCGATTGTACGTGTGTGTGTGTGTCACATTAGAATTTTCTGGCTTATCTGTGTGTTGTTGCTTTCCGTTCTTTCTTCTGTTTGCTGTTTTCTGTTTGAGTCATCGCTGCGCGGCGATTGTGATTGTGCGCTGGCTGGTTCATAGCTGGTAACTGGTTGATGGTAGATGGTAGATGGTAGCTGGGTAGCTGTAGGAGAGAACCTAGATAGGTCTGTTCAGATACATTTATCCACCGAGCTGCACCCCGAAGGATACCCGAACCGCGCCCACTTATTGTCCTGCAGGAACGCAATAAGAAGGTCTGATAATAGTTTTTAGTTGGTAGTGTCGAGTTGGGGTTGGTCGAGTCACACGGTTTGTCGGTTATCTGTGTTCTTAACCAATCTTCCTTCCCACTCTTTAGCAGGAGCTTTCCACAACATGCAAACCATCAAGTGTGTGGTCGTCGGTGACGGAGCCGTGGGCAAGACCTGTCTGCTCATCTCCTACACAACCAACAAATTCCCCTCGGAGTACGTGCCCACGGTGTTCGACAACTATGCGGTGACGGTTATGATTGGCGGAGAGCCCTATACACTTGGCCTATTCGATACGGCTGGTCAGGAGGATTACGATCGGCTGCGTCCTCTTTCATACCCCCAGACGGATGTCTTCCTTGTCTGCTTCTCAGTAGTCAGTCCAAGTTCCTTTGAGAACGTTAAGGAGAAGGTGAGCTGCCACTATATGCCAAACTATAAGCAGATCTAACTAACATATTGTTTCCAGTGGGTGCCGGAGATCACACACCATTGTCAGAAGACGCCGTTCCTGCTGGTGGGCACACAGATCGATTTGCGTGACGAGACCAGCACGCTGGAGAAACTGGCCAAGAATAAGCAAAAGCCTATCACCATGGAGCAGGGTGAGAAGCTGGCCAAGGAGCTAAAAGCAGTCAAGTATGTGGAGTGTTCGGCTCTGACGCAGAAGGGCCTCAAAAACGTTTTCGACGAGGCCATTCTGGCCGCTCTGGAGCCACCAGAACCTACCAAGAAGAGGAGGTGCAAATTCTTATAATTTTCCTTATCTTTTTTTTTCCACTCCCCCCTCTGTGTATCCTTTTCATTCTTGCTATCTACCGTCGCAACATCCCGACGCCTTCCCAGTCCTCTTCGTCCAAGCGACATTCAATATATATATTCATTATATATTTTTTAATTGTATTAATCAGGCTCCGATTCGTTCGGAGCTCTGACCCCAGCCCGAGCCCATATATCTTGTGTCCATCTCGTCCCTATCTGTCTGTTGGCTTCCTACGGAGCTAGAAAACTAAATGATTGGGCTCACAGTCGCATAAATCTTGGTAGTTTCTTTTTAGCTCGGAGTCATCCTCCGCCCTACCCCTAACCGAAACAATTTTTAGTCCCTAGAGCCCTATACTTCTATATGCAACTTGAAAGTCTATATGATGAAACCCCCCTCCCCCCCAAAATTATCACCTCCCAAAGTTGGTGAAGTTAAATCCAAGCCCGGTCTACAGCCGAGTCCATTTCTGCTCCTATTCTGGTTTTTTTGGCGCAATTTTCTTATTAAGTAAAGAGAAGAAACACAATAACAATATAGCAAAAAACAAAAAAAAAAACAAAATTATTTATATATTTCTTTATATATGAATAAATATATACAAAAAGTAAGAGAAAACAGCAAAAAAAAAAAAACAATATATATATATATTAAAAAAAAAATAATGGAAGTAAGAAATATGCAATATTTTGTTTTGCATCAGTCGATCAAAAAAAAAAAAAATACTTGCAATCCATTATTGTCGACAGACCCCCAGAAATAACAACAGATGTGCGAAGAACATATATAATATTATTGGTAACTAAAGTCGTAATGTTTAAACAGCGCAGGAAGGATTTCGCATATTATTATGTAAAACTAAGAGTATTGAAATATGATTAAAAAAATAAAATAAAGTGAAAACGAAAACGAAAACAAACTAAGCGTTGCAACCACACAGACACAACTGAAATCTACAATCTATATAAATATATATATATATATACAAATATAATATATATATATATATATGTATATGTATTGAAATATGTATAATCCATAAATTATAACAATAAAAAAAAAACAAAACGGCAACAGCAAGAAACAAATTTGTATTGCAGTTCAGGAACAAAAGATAGCGAAAGAAATACGAACTAATGCATTTTTTAATATTTTTATATGTATACATTATCAATTTTTACATTTTTTTTCTAGACCTTAGTGATTTAACATTATTGATTTCAGATAATACCTTATAATAAAAACGAAATCCAAAACGAAATCCTCTTCTGTATTTAATTTCAACTTTTTGAATAAAATGTGTCGGTTCTTAGGCTGGGAGAGTCTTTCAAATCTCCAAGATTGGCTATAATATACCTACTACTCATAGATGTACTGTAGATGATCCAATAATACTACAATCCTACTACAGGTTAGGATAGAAAAGCCCAATTTTTGGCCAAAATCCTGATGATACCCCTTGGAAAAGTGCGAATTTCGGTTTTTCTCAGTTTTTCGAGAATATTTAAACTATTACTTAACCGATTCTTAAACGAAATACCATTTATGAATCAGGGATCATAATCCCGTCGATCTGCATCCAAGAATCCTTAAATATCTTTAGAAAAAAAATTGGCCCAATTTTTGGCCAAAATCCTGATGATACCCCTTGGAAAAGTGCGAATTTCGGTTTTTCTCAGTTTTTGGTAAATATTTCAACTATTTCGAAACCGATTCAGAAACGGAATACCATTTATGAATCAGGGATCATAATCCCGTCGATCTGCATCCAAGAATCTCTAAATATCTCTAGAAAAAAAATTGGCCCAATTTTTGGCCAAAATCCTGATGATACCCCTTGGAAAAGTGCGAATTTCGGTTTTTCTCAGTTTTTCGAGAATATTTCAACTATTTCTTAACCGATTCAGGAACGGAATACCATTTATGAATCAGGGATCATAATCACGTCGATCTGCATCCAAGAATCTCTAAATATCTCTAGAAAAAAAATTGGCCCAATTTTTGGCCAAAATCCTGATGATACCCCTTGGAAAAGTGCGAATTTCGGTTTTTCTCAGTTTTTGGTGAATATTTCAACTATTTCTTAACCGATTCTTAAACGGAATACCATTTATGAATCAGGGATCATAGTCCCGTCGATCTGCATCCAAGAATCCTTAAATATCTCTAGAAAAAAAATTGGCCCATTTTTTGGCCAAAATCCTGATGATACCCCTTGGAAAAGTGCGAATTTCGGTTTTTCTCAGTTTTTAGTGAATATTTTAACTATTTCGAAACCGATTCAGGAACGAAATACCATTTATGAATCAGGGATCATAATCCCGTCGATCTGCATCCAAGAATCCTTAAATATCTCTAGAAAAAAAATTGGCCCATTTTTTGGCCAAAATCCTGATGATACCCCTTGGAAAAGTGCGAATTTCGGTTTTTCTCAGTTTTTGGTGAATATTTCAACTATTTCTTAACCGATTCAGGAACGGAATACCATTTATGAATCAGGGATCATAGTCCCGTCGATCTGCATCCAAGAATCCTTAAATATCTCTAGAAAAAAAATTGGCCCATTTTTTGGCCAAAATCCTGATGATACCCCTTGGAAAAGTGCGAATTTCGGTTTTTCTCAGTTTTTGGTGAATATTTCAACTATTTCTTAACCGATTCAGGAACGGAATACCATTTATGAATCAGGGATCATAGTCCCGTCGATCTGCATCCAAGAATCCTTAAATATCTCTAGAAAAAAAATTGGCCCATTTTTTGGCCAAAATCCTGATGATACCCCTTGGAAAAGTGCGAATTTCGGTTTTTCTCAGTTTTTGGTGAATATTTCAACTATTTCTTAACCGATTCAGGAACGGAATACCATTTATGAATCAGGGATCATAGTCCCGTCGATCTGCATCCAAGAATCCTTAAATATCTCTAGAAAAAAAATGGGCCCAATTTTTGGCCAAAATCCTGATGATACCCCTTGGAAAAGTGCGAATTTCGGTTTTTCTCAGTTTTTAGTGAATATTTTAACTATTTCGAAACCGATTCAGGAACGGAATACCATTTATGAATCAGGGATCATTATCCCGTCGATCTGCATCCAAGAATCCTTAAATATCGCTAGAAAAAAAATTGGCCCAATTTTTGGCCAAAATCCTGATGATACCCCTTGGAAAAGTGCGAATTTCGGATTTTCTCAGTTTTTGGAGAATATTTCCACTATTTCTTAACCGATTCAGGAACGGAATACCATTTATGAATCTGGGATCATAATCCCGTCGATCTGCATCCAAGAATCCTTAAATATTTCTAGAAAAAAAATTGGCCCAATTTTTGGCCAAAATCCTGATGATACCCCTTGGAAAAGTGCGAATTTCGGTTTTTTCTCAGTTTTTGGTGAATATTTCCACTATTTCTTAACCGATTCAGGAACGGAATACCATTTATGAATCTGGGATCAAAAACCCGTCGATCTGCATCCAAGAATCCTTAAATATCTCTAGAAAAAAAATTGGCCCAATTTTTGGCCAAAATCCTGATGATACCCCTTGGAAAAGTGCGAATTTCGGATTTTCTCAGTTTTTCGAGAATATTTCAACTATTTCGCAACCGATTCAGAAACGGAATACCATTTATGAATCAGGGATCATTATCCCGTCGATCTGCATCCAAGAATCCTTAAATATCTCTAGAAAAAAATTGGCCCATTTTTTGGCCAAAATCCTGATGATACCCCTTGGAAAAGTGCGAATTTCGGTTTTTCTCAGTTTTTGGTGAATATTTCAACTATTTCTTAACCGATTCAGGAACGGAATACCATTTATGAATCAGGGATCATAGTCCCGTCGATCTGCATCCAAGAATCCTTAAATATCTCTAGAAAAAAATTGGCCCATTTTTTGGCCAAAATCCTGATGATACCCCTTGGAAAAGTGCGAATTTCGGTTTTTCTCAGTTTTTGGTGAATATTTCAACTATTTCTTAACCGATTCAGGAACGGAATACCATTTATGAATCAGGGATCATAGTCCCGTCGATCTGCATCCAAGAATCCTTAAATATCGCTAGAAAAAAAATTGGCCCAATTTTTGGCCAAAATCCTGATGATACCCCTTGGAAAAGTGCGAATTTCGGATTTTCTCAGTTTTTGGAGAATATTTCCACTATTTCTTAACCGATTCAGGAACGGAATACCATTTATGAATCTGGGATCATAATCCCGTCGATCTGCATCCAAGAATCCTTAAATATTTCTAGAAAAAAAATTGGCCCAATTTTTGGCCAAAATCCTGATGATACCCCTTGGAAAAGTGCGAATTTCGGTTTTTTCTCAGTTTTTGGTGAATATTTCCACTATTTCTTAACCGATTCAGGAACGGAATACCATTTATGAATCTGGGATCAAAAACCCGTCGATCTGCATCCAAGAATCCTTAAATATCTCTAGAAAAAAAATTGGCCCAATTTTTGGCCAAAATCCTGATGATACCCCTTGGAAAAGTGCGAATTTCGGATTTTCTCAGTTTTTCGAGAATATTTCAACTATTTCGCAACCGATTCAGAAACGGAATACCATTTATGAATCAGGGATCATTATCCCGTCGATCTGCATCCAAGAATCCTTAAATATCGCTAGAAAAAAAATTGGCCCAATTTTTGGCCAAAATCCTGATGATACCCCTTGGAAAAGTGCGAAATTCGGTTTTTCTCGGTTTTTGGTGAATATTTCAACTATTTCGATACCGATTCAGAAACGGAATACCATTTATGAATCAGGGATCAAAAACCCGTCGATCTGCATCCTAAAAAGACCTTCCATTAGATATTAAAATTAAAGTTAAAGATTAAATAGATTACCGCCAAATATAAAAAATGATTAACATTACAATTTCCGACAGATTTTGTTTATTTTTGTTGTTAATTTGTTGACAATTTTCCCTAAAAATGACCTAGGAGTGGTCGCCGGACCACAAATAAATGTTAAAATCGGAAATAAAAGCTAGATGGCCATTCGCGCCCAAAGTCCTGTGTCCCATGGAAGTTAACTTAAACTCAACAAAAAAAAAGAAGGATATTGAATCCTGCGAGCACGGTGGACTGTCATGCAGTGTTTCGTTTTGGGGTTTTTGTTTTTTGGGCGGTTGTTGGGTAAATGCGAGTGCCTCATGGAGGCATCAGCTCTCCCTGCTGCTGGGTTGCTGGCTCAAACATAGAGAGGAAATAGTACGATTAAAGTTAGTTTGGCGGGTGACATTGTTCCTTTGACTGTTGATCCTGATTCTGCTCCTCCTCCTCCTCCTCCTCTCCCTCATCATCTTTCATCCTTCTGCTGCACGCTTAAAGCTCGTCGTGGCCAAGGAACTTCTTGAGATAGGACTGGAGCTCCGGAAGCGAGCGGCTGCCCTCGTACTCGTTCTGCCGCTTTCCATTCTTGTAGAGGAACAGAGTGGGATAGCCCTCCACCTGCTGGTCGATGCAGATCTGCTTGTTCTCCGGCGCCGTGCAGTCGACCTTGGCGATCTTCACGTCAGACTGTGCCTGCTGCGCATCTGTGGCCAGCTGCTCCCAAGTGGGCTGGAGCTTCTGGCAGTGGCCGCACCACGGGGCATAGAACTTGATGAAGGCGATACCCTCAGCGATCGCCTTTTCGAACTCCTCCTCGCCGGTCACCTGCTGGACGATCGGCTTCTTCTCGTCTTCGTCACCGGCCTCCTTATCCTCCGTGGCCTTGCCCTGGCTCGGCACACCCACCATCTTATCCACGTAGCTCTTTAGGGTAGCTAGGTCTCGGGCTCCGGAGTACTTTTCGATCTTCTTGCCGTCCTCGATCCACAGAAGGGTGGGATAGCCTTTCACCTCAAAGTCCTGGCAAATGGACCGAAACTGAGTGCAGTCTATCTTCGAGATGGTGACGGCGGGCTCCGTTACAAGCTCCTTGGCCAGTTCCTCCCATGTGGGAGCCAGGCGCTATGAACAAGGAAGAGTTACAAAATGCGAAACGGCCTGGGAAGGATTCCATTTACCTGGCAGTGACTGCACCAGGGAGCGAAGAACTTCACAAAGTGGTTGCCCTGGGAGACGTGCTTGGCAAAGGTGTCCTCGGTAAGGTCCACCACCTTGCCCACGTTGGGGTTCTCGGTTTCCTCGTGCTTGACCACCTCAAGGTCGGCCTCATCGGGTGTGCTCAGCTCCTGGTTAATAAAGTCCGTGATGGCGGGCAGGTCGCGAGTGCCCTTGAACTTGATCGACTCCTTTTCACCCTGCTTAAACAGACGGAGTGTGGGATAGCCGGTGACTTGGTGGGCGCCGCACAGAGCCTGATGCTGGGTACAGTCCACCTTGGCGATGATCACCTTGGGATCGTCCACGTTCATGATCTCGGCCACTTGCTCCCATAGCGGTTGCAAGCGCTTGCAGTGGCTGCACCTAAAAAGGGGAAATGGAAATTAAATTAAATCCATTTTTGGAAAGATTAAAGTTTAAACTTTAAAGAGAAGGCTCGTAAAGTTTAAAGTCTGGGTCTGGGTCTGAGTGCCTGAGTAAAAACCCCAAAAATATGCGTCTTCGTTTAATTAGGAATGTGTGTAGTACTTTCTTAATAATGATAAGGTCAACCGCTTGAGTAGAAATCACGGATCCATTGTGAAATCTAGTGTTTCGTTTCATACACAATGAACCCGAAAACAATGAAACCCCCCACCCGATAAGGCTGGTCTGGTCTGTGCTTTGTCCAGAACAAAGAGTTTATCATCTACGATTGCCCGAAGCGCATTAGGAGCTACTCCCCTTGACCCCAAACGCCGCCAACTCTGTGCCTGCACCAATCTCCCGCCAAAAGCACTTCCTAGCAACATAATTGAAACTAATCAAATTAGTCCATAGAGACACGGCGATGGCGATGGCTATTGATAAGGCCGGCGGAGAGCAGCGTCTGACGACCAGTGGCCGAAAAAAACTTTCTGTAAGTATTTGGTGTGTCAATCAAGGGGCGGCTGGTGGTTCTTCGAGTCTCGAACAAAGCCCCCTTGATCGTCTTATCGACGACGTGCGCTTTTATTGGCGCGGCACCCATGACGAATCTTCAGGTCCTTGATCAGCGTGCAGCTGGTACCGTATACTAACGTAGTATATGTACAGATGTCGCCGTCATACCACGTCCGTCATCGGCAGACGTGCTACGAAAAAATACATAATTCTTTGCAAAAAAATAGACATATATAGAACTAATTCCGGTTGTCATAATCATCAGATTTTTATGCAAAATATGCAATTTTTTAATGCAAGGAAGGGTGAAAATCTCTCCACTTTCTTTGACAATTATTAGAAAAATATTCTCCCAAAATAATTATTTAAGTTTTTAGTTAAGAAAAAAATATTATTGCATTAAAATTAGCAATTTGCGAAATTGAAAACCGGAATGAGACCTTTAATTATGTGTGCGTGGCTTGTCCATAAAAAAAAAAAAAAAAAAAAGGGGGGGTATGTGGACTTGTGCCATTCGCCGGCCCAGTTGCTTCAAAATTGGACACAACCCAACACATACCCAGGGCGCGAAAAAAAGTGTGTTTACCCAGCTTTACTTACCATGGGGCAAAGAACTTGACGAAGACATTACCGGCGGCAATGGTCGAGTCGAAGGTCGCCGGGTCCAGCTCCACGGCAAACTGTTTCTCTGCCTGCTTGCCGGCAGAGTCCTCCTCCTGGGCAGCATTGGCGCCGTGCAGTAGGGGCGCGATCAACACACCGCATAGCGCAATGGATACTAGGGACCTGGTCAACATGTTGATGGTTTCGGTTTCGCTTCCGCCTTCGAATAAAATGCTAGCCTCTGTAGATCACGTCTGTCGTAGCCCAGTACCAGTAATATCTATTAAATATACTTTTTTTTTGTCGATTTGGTTTCCAAATATACCAAATGTATGTATCAATAAACGGTCACTTTGTCGAACTTCTCGCGATAATAAGTACTATCGCTCATCCTTGCCGATTAGTAGTAGAAATATAACAAGGAAAACGTAGTATTAGTAGTAGAATTGTGGTGGGACAAAGCTCGCTCAATAACATCGATAACCGATAAGTGCTATCGATTTTCCACCGCCTGCAGTTTCCCGACAGTTATTATTATTTTGGTATTTATTATTATTCTCTGGCCACACATGGAAACTCATTACGGATATTTTCCAGACTATTTTTGCGAAATGCGCCAATAAAATAACCCGTTGTTCACAGGACAGCCACTGTGGATTAATAATTGCGTTGCTGAGGCGCGGCACGACCCCAAAAACCAAAACAAAGAAGGTAGGTTTCCGGAGGGACGGCGACAGGCTGGCTGCTGCGCTGATCCGATTTCGGGAAACATACGTGCGGCGTCATTTGCTAACAGTCCACTGTTCTTTCGATTCCCACACCCACACATGCACAACAGTACCAGACACGACAGACACTCGCAGAGCGGAAGGCAAGCGATTTAATCGGGAAATGAGCAGCCAGGGCCACCACAAGATGCACGGCTGCGGCGTCGGGGGACTGACCGGACTGCAGGGCGCCGCGTCTCACAAGTCCGGTAAAGGCGGCAGTTCGGAACAGGAGTTCACCGACGAAATAGATTTGGGCGACAGGTTCTCAGCGGACATGACGCGGCTTTGTATGAACGAACGCTACTCGGACGTGGAGTTCTTGGTGGAGGGCCAGCGCCTGCCCGCCCACCGCGTTGTTCTGGCAGCCCGCAGCGAGTACTTTCGAGCCCTGCTCTATGGCGGCATGTCGGAGACGACACAGCGCCAGATTCCATTAGAGGTGCCCCTGGATCCATTCAAGGTGCTCCTTCGCTACATATACTCGGGTACCCTGCTCCTATCGACGCTCGACGAGGATGCGGTCATCGATGTGCTAGGCATGGCCAATCAGTACGGCTTCCAGGACCTGGAGATGGCCATCTCGAAATACCTGCGGCAGTACTTGGCCCTCAACAACGTGTGCATGATCTTGGACGCTGCTCGGTTGTACAACCTGGAAGAGCTCACCCAAGTGTGCCTCATGTTCATGGACCGAAACGCCGCCGAGCTGCTGCAGCACGACTCCTTCAAAATGCTCTCCAAGGTGGGTATTCCATTTCTGTCAAGGGATTTGTTGATTCATTGACTTCTTCGCCAGGAATCTTTGGAAGAAGTGTTGCGCCGCGACTGTTTTTTTGCCCCAGAGGTGCAGATCTTCTTGGCCGTTTGGAAGTGGAGCCGCTACAACCCGAACGTGGACATCAAATCTGTGGTGAGCTACGTGCGCCTGCCGCTCATGAACCTCGAGCACCTGCTGCAGGTGGTGCGACCGTCGGGAATTCTGGAGCCCGATAAGATACTGGACGCCATTGATGAGCGAAGCACCTCGAAGACGCTGCCGTACAGAGCGGCACTGTGGCCCGAAGAGAACGTGGCCACGGCAAAATTTTTGTCGCGCTGCATCCAAGGAGAATGCCGCACCGCCTTGCTGGATGGTGACGTGACCACCTACGACATGGAGCACGGTTATACGCGGCACTGCATCACGGATACCAACGATGCTGGTATTGTGGTCGAACTGGGAACCCTTTGTATGATCAATCACATCCGCATGCTCCTGTGGGACCGAGACAGTCGCGCTTACTCCTATTTTGTGGAAGTATCCGGCGACCAGCAGAACTGGGAGCGGGTGGTGGACTACAGCGAGTACCACTGTCGCTCCTGGCAATATCTTTATTTTACCGCCCGACCAGTACGCTTTATCCGTCTTGTGGGAACCCAGAACACAGTCAACAGGGTATGTTACTCCGGATTTTTAATCCTCCATCCAATGGACTTATTTTCTGATATTTTTTCAGGTGTTTCATGTTGTGGGATTGGAGGCCATGCACACAGCCAACGTGCCCAAGCTAATAGACCACTTTGTGGCGCCGAAAGCTAACGTGGCCACCATCGAGATGAGTGCGATCGTCACAGACGGTGTCAGTCGTACCAGGAACGCCCTCATTAACGGTGACTTTGTGCGCTATGACTGGGACTCGGGCTACACTTGCCATCAGTTGGGGAGCGGCGAGATAGTCGTTCGACTGGGCCAGCCCTATCACGTGGGCTCCATGCGGCTATTGCTGTGGGACTGCGACGATCGTACTTACAGCTTCTACATCGAGACCTCGACCAACCGCAAGGACTGGCAGATGGTGGTGGACCGGCGCAATGACACTGCCCGCTCCTGGCAAAACTTCCACTTTGCCCCGCGTCCTGTCGTCTTTATCCGCATCGTGGGCACCCGCAACACGGCGAACGAGGTGAGCTATGCCCATTAATTAAAGGATTGGAGTATTTCCTAATCGATATATTTCAGATATTCCACTGTGTCCACCTCGAGTGCCCCACCCAGGACAAGAGCTATCTGAAGAAAATTGCCAACCTGGAAAAAGAGAAGGAGAAGGATAAGCAATGCGAGGCAGGGCGGGAGGGCAAGTCCTCCGACAGAAATGTTAGGTCAAGCCCATCCAGCTCGTCGTCGGCAGTATTGAAGTCCACCCACTGGCCCCCACCGGTGCCAGCGCCTTCCAAAGCGGAACAGCCCAAAGGGAAGTCAGCATGCGAAGCCTCCAAAGCCGCCCCAGTCTTGCCAACAACATCCTCTGCATCCTCGCCCCGAACGGCTTCCGAATCGCAAGAGCTCCCCGCCCCCTCAACTCCAGCAGCAGCGTCAACTCCGCCGCCGCAACAGCAGCCACTGGAACCGCCGAACGAGCCCAGTGAGAGCCCCAGCTCCAGCTCCAGTCCCAGCCAAAGTCAGAGTAGGAGTCGGAGCAGAAGCCAAAGTGCAGAGCCGGATCCAGTGCCGCCGCTGGTGGAACTGGACTCGAAGGATGCGCATTGAGGGATGTGCCGATGATGCTATTTTGTACTTGATCCTTTCAAAATACTCCTCCTGTTAGTCCCCAGAGCAGAAGCCAAGCTGAGATTCCTCTTTGGTACCTCCTTATTTGTAGTTTGTGCTGTGCGACCGTGCTGTACTTGTTATCTAGTCCATCCCAGTGCCCAAGTTAATGGGCTCCTCCGATACATTCGAATCGCCACTGACTTAGTTTTTTTTTGTTCTCTTAATTCGTATGTTGGTTTCCAAAAACAATGTTGTGATGAGTGGCGATTCAAAAAGAAAAAAAAAAACCGAAAGCTAAAAAAAAAAAGAAATTCCTTTGTTGGCACGGCCCCAGTGTTGAGTTTATGTAAGAAATACCACCATCTACTTAATGCACCTATTATGACTTTCGAGCAGATAAACCAAAATTGTATACGAGGTTCGAGGATCACATCCAGTCCGCACATCGAACTCTGTCCATGTCCGTAACCCGAGAATGATCCACTCGATCCGCCACTAATATAGTCTTGGCCCCGCGGGCAGCCCCACAGAAAAGGCTCTATTTATTATACAAGTTTTGTCAGAATTTGTACTGCACTCGAATAAAAGCTAATTAAACCTTTTGCGTACATCGCAATTGTCTTGGTTTTTTATTCGGTTTTATAATTTAAGTTCTAATAATTAAAGTTTTTATTTTATAAAAAAAATAGTTAATCTCCAACAACAGATGGCGCTGACAGCCACCGCAGAGGTGAAAAAGAAAGAGATGGCAGACAGGCTATAGGCATGCCGCAACAGAACTGCATTGCCGGACACCGTGGCGCCTGCGCAGAAAACTAGTTTCTTGGCAGAGAAGTATGTAGGGGACTAGGAGGAAAATGTGGGTAGATTGTCCACAAGGCCATTTGCAAATATGTTAACCAGCGAGAACAAGAACAAGACTAAGGCCAATAACAAAAACAAATTTGTATCTTGGAAACTTTTCACACTCTGCCTTTCAGCCAATATTTTTGCTATCTAGCAACCGATTAAAAAAATAAAGAGTACCACTTTTAAGTATTTGAAGAACTATTTGAATCCCCGTCGATTTGCATCCAAGAATCTTATAAATCCTTAAGATATACTGACCCTTTTAAAAAATTACAAAAAATGGGTCCAAAATTTTATTTATTGATTATACTAGAAGATATATGAACGGGAATTTATAGCATAAATGGATCTTTAAGGTATCAGATGAATTATAGACATTGTCCTACTCAAAAAATTAAAAAAAAAATGAAACCGTTTTTAAAGATTTTTTTACATTTCGAAAATCAAATTTTTCCTGCTTTTATTATATGATACTTAAGTGTTTTGTAACTGATTAAAGAACGGAGTACCATTTTGAAATCATTTTGAAATGAACCCGCCTCTATTATCACAAAAAGATTAAAAAAAAGTTAAATTAAAAATGTTTTCCAAAAATGGCTAAGTAATGTTTTAATTACTTGAAGTATTCGAAGTTTTAAGATTAGGAAGGTATACTATTTTTAATCAGACAAATATTAACTATTTTATACAGATTTTTCCATCAGAAAATATAAGAAAGTGGGTCATTTTTATTTAGTTTCTTTTTTATTTGGCCAAAATTCTAATTTATTCTCCTTTAAGCGAATTTCATAAATATTTTAAACCTGATTTGAAACAGAGTTATTAATCAAAGCTTTTGGCTGCTTTGATTTGCATTCAAAAAGATCGAAAAAGACAAATTACGTTAGTTTGCAATGCAACCTCTTTCGTCACCTACGTGGAAGGCCGTTTTAAGACAAGGTTTTGGTGGAAATGAGCTCCAAACAAGATCAAAACACTTTTACTATTATAAAAGTTGTCTTTCAATTAAGATAAATATTTGGAATGTTAGTTTTTTCATAAATATTAATATTTTCAAAAAACTAATTTAAAATCTTCAAAACTATATCGTAAATTAATTCCCAATAAGAAAAACAAGAGAGAGAGAGAGCTCAAGCTGTACGTTATCCAGCACTCTTATTTGTCACCACTGTGCAACACTCGCCATCTCGCGGTCTGCAATATTTTGATCGGGGGACTCATGAATCCACTCCACTCCCATCAGTTCGTTCAGTTCGGTTCGGTTCGCTCGATGCGTTGGCTCCACCAGTAGTCAGTTCAGTTCAGTTAGTACGAGTTAGTCGACAGACAAAGTCCGCCGTGGTCAGAGCAACGAACGGATTGCCAAGTGCTAACTACCAGATACAAGATACAAGATACACAAACACGGATACTCACGCACGGCCTGTCGGTTGCCTTTTTGCTTAATATATACATACATATATATTTATATTTATACATATATCAGTGTATAAATATTTGTTATTTTTTTTTTTGAAAAAACGACGCGCGAGGGTGTCATATACTACTAGTAGTACCTATAGAGACATTGCCGATCGACGACGGCCAGCGAATATATAGGACAGCGAGCGAGTGGATATTTTTTGACTTATTTTTTGTGAAAACCGCGACAAGTGTTTAAAAATAGTTGCCCAGCTAAACACTAAACTCCCCCTTAGCCACTTAGACACTTTTTTTTAGCCACTTAACAAAAACCACAACAAAAAAAACAACAATATGGTCGAGACCGTGGTCACCGTTGAACGCACAACAACAACAACAACAAATGGTCCACCCGGAGGCGCCAATCCAGCCGGCGATGGAGGATTCTGGGGAGCCATACGTCTAAATATTGACTATTTCCGCACCATTCCGGGCATTATAAAACTTGTACAATTTGTAAGTAATAACAATATATATATTATAATCATATAAAAAAAATCCAGACCCCAATATAGACCCTCATTTATGGTAGGACTTAGGAACCCTTTTTATCGGAATATGTATTGTGTACACAAGGCATACTATCTATAGGCTTCCCAGGCATAGACTTTATCGAAAGAACCCTCATATGTGGCTCCAAAACTATCTTTAGAAATACTTACAAACTACAAGTTATAGAATATATAGATATGTCAGGATTCTCATTAGACTTATGCCGGATAAGATAGGCGGACGGAGACAACCACCGACATGTGAGTTCCCCCTCCCCACCCGGTCAACTTTTTGGTAGAATTCTTGTCAACAAAATTATGCAACAAATGAAACAAACTGCCGTTCGACAAACTTGATTTTGAGTGGAACGGTATAGAGTTTACATTTTTCCCATAATGGGCACACAAAACGGCACCGTGTGGGCAGAACACCACATGCACCAGAGACACCACCACCACCAGTTGGCCATGTCGGGCCGAGATCGCCCTCCTCCATTCATGCCAGAGGTATTTTCTTTGCGCCCACATTGTTAAGATTTTGGCCGTTGGACGCCAACACAAGATCCGAGATACAAAGTACGGAATACCAGATACTACGACCTACAGGTGTGCATTCAATTAAATGTATTTTTTAGTCATTATTTTATTTAATTTTTTTTAATTGGGGGTTTTTTAAAGGGAAAATAAAGAAACAGTTTTTGAAGAGAGATAAACAAAACGAATATTTGTTCTTTAAATAAATACTGAAATATATTAGTTTATATACTTAATATATCACTAGAATATTAAAAATTTATAGAGAATTCTTGCTTCATTTTTATAGAAGTCGTCAACCACATTATGTTTTTGTTATTTTTCTTAAATACTCATTCACTATTGAGCATTTAATATTTAAATTTTCATTTTTATTAGAAAGAGGTATATTATGAGAGCTTATAAAGCTCCCAGAACTCCAAATATCTCTTGAATTAATATCTTTTTATTACTTTTACTTTGAAAAACCTTAAAAAACCTACAACATTTATTGAATTCAAGATTCTAGATCTAGAGAGCTCTATAAGATTTTCCTTCAAATCCCCAGAACTTAATATTTCCCAAATAATAGTCCCCCCAAATTCCCAAAATAGTTCCCCATTACTTCTCTTAATTAATAAATACTTTATAGTAATATAATATTTTCTACATAACTTTACTTAATATTTGTTGGAATTTAAATTATAAGACTTTCATAAAAATTTCCAGAATAAGTACTTCTTAAAATATTATCTCTCTACAACTTGTATTAAATAAATACTTTAAGACACCCAATAACTTAATAAAACTCCCGTCTTAGAAGCCCTTTATAACCCCTTTTCTATCTAAAATTCAAGAACCTCGATTAGAATCTACAATTTAAAAGTTTATTGCTTATAATACCTGGGGCAATGCAATTATTCGAATGTCATGTCCCTATTGACTTGAAATATTGACCTTCTCATCAAAATTTCAGCAAGCTAATCGGTTAGAAGAGGTTTATGCAGGTGTGGGTACAAATATATATCCTACCATAAGAGGGTTCTCAAAACAAAGGTCACTGGAAGGAACCAGGATAGTCTTGGCGACAGTCCGGCCAACTGCCAGACTTCACATGAAAAATGTATTATTAAGTGCTTGTTTTTTTTTGTTTTTCCAGAAAATCAATATAAATAGTTGGCATGGCTTATGGGTGGCTATGAGTGGGTGGGGTGGGTGGTGTTGGGGCTGATGGGCTAAGAGGAGACTGAGGGCCGAAATTACCGATACGATTAACATTGCCATAAACTGTCGGTTATTAAGTGGGTATTTATTGATTTTCTATAACCGACAAGCTCCGATAAGTTAATAATCCAACTATAGGTAGTAATATAGCTCGATCTCATAGATATAAAGCTAAGATCTTTAAGTAACTCATACTGACCCGGCAGAAAAAAAATAAAAGTAACTGAGAAATACGTCGATTTCAAAAATAGCCAATTGATTTTCTTTGTGTCGAATGGGATTTTCGTGGCAACTAATCTTATCGCCGAACTTTGCCGATAGACCCTGATAGTCCCGCCGTTCTAAATAAATATAGTATATAAAAGTGTTCCACTTAAGTTTCTCCACCAAAATACATTCAAATCTAACCATATATGTATGTACACATGGCTGGTTCCCAAAATGGATTTCTCTGTAGAGCTTTGGAGCGATAGGCTTGGAATTTATTATGAATATGTAGATCCTTAAAAGGTTAATATTTGTTTTGAAATTTAAGTATTTTGAAGCTGATAAAATAGTTCTTGTTATAATACTCGACAAAAATATAGAAATATGTACATTTATAAGATCGTTTTATAGTTTTATGTTGAAAATGTATATAAGAAATAGATCCTTAAAGGGTAAATATTAGAATTTCTGGAAGATATGATGAACTGACGTCCTGAAATCCTGAAATATATACCTATATGTATCTTTCTTTATATTCTTAAGAATTATATTGGAAATTTATATTGGAAAGAAATATATGCTTGAAGGCTAGATATTCGAATTTCCGGAGGATATGATGTCCTGATGTTTTTCTATGGACATAAAGAACGATATGTTTGGAATTTATACAGAACTATTTTAGTCGGTGAAGGGTCAAGTCCTTTTACCCATATAACATATCTATCTAGATATTCTATAGCAATATTCTGGTATTTTAGATATAAATATTTATACCCTTAAAACTTTTAAGTTAAAAGGTTAGACTTTAAAAAAGAGAACTTTAATTTCTTTATTTGTAAAATATTAAATAAGATTTCCTGATGATCTAAAGAAATTAAGCTCAATAAAGCTGTATTTTCGGTATTTATTGTAGAAATAAATCCTTGAAGGGAAGGTATCCCTAATATTATCTTTAAAGTAAAAGTATTTTATTTATTTTTTATGAATTTAACACATTTAGACCAAATCAATGACTAGATGGTCAAAATAATTAGACAATTTTTTGATAAATTCTTTACCTAAAAATTAAATTTTTTATATTTATTTTACGATATAATTATTTTACAATTTACAAAATATTATTCTTTATTATTTGCATTATAACTTCTAATGATACTATAATATATTATTAGTATTATATAAATTTCATTATTTTGTTTTTTTGTTAATTACCCATTACTTGCCTTTACAAAGCCTGAGTCATTTGGGCCAAGTTGTTGAATGGCTAGAAGGATGGCTAACGGCTAATCGAGCATTACTCATACGCCCCGTTATCACTGCTGGCCAGAAGGGCGGGCTGTACAAATTTGGTAGCAAAGGCAGAAAGATAAGGCAATCAATGCCTGACACCTGACCGCCGCCAATGGCTAATTTGGCCGAAAAGCTCATTACTCATCCGCCGTGTTGGTGCCGAGCGAAAATCCCCGAAAGTATTACCCTTCTTGGAGTTGGAAACCAATTTGCCAAAGCCTGTTGGCCAAATAGGAGCGATAAGATTGCCTCTGATGGCAATTAGCATTTTGGACCCAAAGAACTATATGCCAGACTGATATATTGTACATGAATATATATATATGTATGTTATATATGGTATATCCATGCCATGGCCAAGTTTGATCCACATACGATATACATATATACTTATAACTTGGCCAGAACATCACATCACACATGTCTATATATATATATATGTATGCAAATCGGAACTGGCACGATTTATTGTAGAACTTTGAGAACTTTTTATAATAGACATTACGTAAGATGTATTTTGGAAGCCAGCAGATCCGATCCCCTACAGCAAACAACATTGTTTTCGGGGCTAATGTCGTGGATTTTAATTTTTAATTAATGTTCTTGCCAAAAGCGGAAATTATGACACACATTCAGTGTCATTTAGGAGGTTTTTTTTGTTTTCAAGCCAAGGCCAGGGAGAGGGCTAAGAGGGTGGGTGTCAAGTCTTTAGACAGATCCAGATCCCAAAAGCCATACAAACCAGTCATTAGTGTTTGTTTTGGTTTCGAGAATGCGATCGGATGTCAGAACATCTAACCATATAGGGGCTTGGAAGCTAAAAGACATAAATGTAAGGCAGGTATAGCTATATTTTACAAAAACATCAATCATTTCTATGATAAACTATCCTATATTCTCTAAATTTTGGCAAAAAATTATTATTTATTTATTTGTAGCTTTTTTTTTAAACATAAATCTTTTGAAACGCACTGTACAAGGTGCACGACACTATGTAAATGTCAGAGTATTTTTCAAGTAATGGCCGCTGACTAAGTGCACCACAAAATGAGCTCATCTTCCAAGCAATTGACTAAGCTATATAGTCTATAGGTATATACATAGGTATATAAGGTATATATAACCTATGGTTTATCATTTCTTTATTTAACATCTGGGCACTGCACTGTGTGTTTATCTATCCAAAGCAATCAATGCTATCTTTATGGTTTATCTCTTGGGCCCTGAAACTTTTGTGGCTTCCATTGAACTTCAGAGAAGAACACTGAGAGAAATGACTCTATAAAATCTCTAATATTAATAATAGATAAATATATTAAGAGTAAATCGAGTTTAGTTACAAGACCATAAGTACTGGGTATAGATAGTTAGGAGAGGTCTTATAGTCTTATAGAGGGTTGTAGATAGTTTCTCTTGGTGTTCTAGTCCTAGAACTTGATCCGTTCCGCCCCAGTGGTTGCCCACCTCCACATATAGAGCAAGTCTATATAATTATGCTATAGGGGGGTTCTGAAACAAGGGTCGAGAGAACTCGATCGAAAAATGGGTCCACACACTACGGTTTTTTCATGCTTGACCAGGCAGATCGGTCCGTTACTAAATATAACTATACTATATGGTAGATGGAGTATATACTATGATGGTGAAGAGGAGTACCCTGCCTAGCCTTGTCTGGTGGAGCGTTTCGAAATCGAAATCATAGCCAGACACTTACGTGTACAGGCACATATGTATGTGAGTCCACAAATAACCCCCTGCTTATAGCCATCTATATGCAAATATGCACAACAACTGTATAGATAAAGAAGAGAAAAGAAAACTGCCCATAAATTATGTTTAAGAAAGACACAAAATTTAAATATTTCCCTCTCGGAATGTGACGCAAATTTCGAAAAAAAAAAAAAAATAGTGATGTGAAAGAAGCATCTGTCGGATCCCTCAAGTGGGAAAAACATCAGAACGATCTAAGAGCTACATCCTATGTCTAACAATACCAATCCTACCAGTTTCTAGTTTCTAGTGGGAATGCAATCGAAGATCAACAACAAATCGCCGCCGACAGTTCAATCAACCTTTGATCTTGTGGCGGTGTCTGTAGTGTCTACCCCACCACCGCCTCTTGTTGATTAATTGTTTGCAAAAAAAAAAAAAAAAAAAAAAGAAAATACTAAGAGGTATGGGTTCGGGATGGGGCTAGGGAGGGGCCTAAACACCCAACATGTTGCCATCAACAGGTCGCTTTTGGCCCGGCTACAACTTTCAGCTTTCACTTTTTGTATGTCTTTTGTTTTTAGGCAAGAGGCAAGTGTGTGCACCTGCTTGTTTTCTTGTTTTAATACCAGGTATACCCCTTAAAGTTGAAGGGTATGCTACTATACCTAATACTGGTATTATTTATATTTTTTTATATTTTTAAACCAAGAAACCAGAGAACTTCTAGTAACTTAAGGACTAAACAAAGTTTAGGAAGGTGTAGAAGTACCAGGTATCATATAGTCTATAAACAATAGTATACCCTTTCTTATTGGTTTTTTGTTTTGGTTTGTTTTGTCGTATTTGTTGTCTTTGTCGCCAAAAGCTTATTGCCTTTTAATTACCTGGGCAACCACCACGACATCTGGAGGTCAGATCAGACCCACCTTTGTGGGTTTTTAGGGAATACCATTAGGGGTTTTGGGAGGAAACTTTTGGATACTACAGTTCTGGAAACTATTAAACCTATAATACTATAATATTCCTATACCTATAATACTAAACCTTTAATAGAAAGTCTGGAAGATAATGAAGAAAATATCTTGTATAGTATTTTAAGGATTTATAAATAATATAATATACTACTATAATATACCTATACCTTCAATACTATAACTTTAAAATAAAGTCTGTAAGATAATAAAACAAAATATCTACTATAGTATTTTGAGGCTTTAGAAATATAATCATTATAAACAGGCTTTCAAAAAAATAAGAAAATAATATTTAACTCCAAGGTTCAACCTAATATGAAAATCTTTTACAAAAACTATTACAATACTATTAAATACTTATATAATAATTATACTCAATTCCCAAGATATAAAGAAAAAATAAGATATATTCTTGCAATTATAAGTACAATAATGCCAGACATCAGGTCCCCCAAGAGTTTATGATTTTTAAGATCTAGTCTAGTGTTTCTACCTATTATTATACTCTAAAATTCATTCTCATATAGAATATTGTATAATACAAACCATATTTTTAGATAAAACATATATTTTCTATAAAAAGTGCACCCAATTCCCAAAATATAAGCCCAAAAAGTAAGATCTATTGTTGCAATTGTACAATAATGCCATTTTCATTAAAAGACATCAGTTCCCCCAAGTGTTTATGGCTGTTTGTAGTGTCGTTTTCATTTTTCCAACCCATATAACCCATTCCGTGTCACTCCCAGTGAGCATTCAAATTCTGTTTCCAATTAAAGGTGACATCATGGACACATCATACCCACTCCATACCATTCCAAAGGCGACCTTGAAAGGTGCCCCGTAGACAGTGGAAGATCACTGTCTGTAGATGCAGTCTATCTTAGAGATAATAATACTTGATTTTTGAAATTTTTTTAATTTATGAAGTAGCTATAGTTTGGCCCTACTCCCCAATGGGGTTTATAGAACATTGGTATTATAAACTGTATATAGATTTCTTTAATACTCATTTCCTAATAAGATATTTGAGAATCTAGACAATCACAGGTGTTTGTTAAAATAAACATTTTTTAATTATAAACATTTTAAAGAATTTTATGGACTTTGGGACTTGTGCCTATAGTGCCCATGTCGTGGCTATGTATATATATTAAATTACTAGTTTCCAAATAGATTAATTCCTAGTAGTCCCTTCTAGTTTCAAATAGAAGGGTTTATTCCCAAATAGACTTTTCTATCCCTTTGAAAAATATATATAGTCTTAGGATATAGTCTTAGACTTTTAAAATATTTCTTTAAATATATTTTTTTTTAATAAAAAATCCTCATTTATTTTTTTTTTTAGATTCTGGGCATCATCTGCATGGCCTTGGCTGCTCCGCCCCTGAACTCGGCCACCTCGTTCTTTATGTTCGTGATCGTGATCTCGTTCATCATCACCATCCTGCTCATCGCCGCCTACTTCCTGGGCATTCGTGAGGCCCTCAACGTGGCCGTCAATTGGGTATTTTCGGTAAGTCCCCTTCCCTCACATACTATTCTGACTCCTTCTCATACTGATTCTATAATTCTATATTACAGGAACTGATTACCACTGCTGTGCTGACACTGTTGTACTTCATTGGGTTCATTGTCCAGCTGGCCAGGTGGTCGGATGCCAGCACTCCGGGTGCGGGCTCCAATACAGCTGCCGGCGTCTTTGGGCTGTTCAACTTCCTGGCCTATGGAGCGGGCACGTACTTCCTGTTCCTGGCGCACCGATCGGGAGCCACCCACTAGAGGATCGCAACGGATCGGAGGCAGAGATGGGCGGATGGGCAGAACCTAGCGTATAACTACTTCTATTTGTTAACAGATTTTAAGTGCAATTCGCGTACTTGTGTAATTTCGTCCATTTTTTGTTTGTTTTCTTAAATGATTTTTTTTGTGTTAATTTATGAGAGGACAAAGGTCACCGGTCAGCTCAATGGAAAGCCAAGCCATGGACTTTCGCGACTTGATATGTTTTTAATGTTTTTAATTTTAATGCCTAACTTATGTAAATGCCGATGCTAAAGTTTAAGTTTTTAAAAGCCACCAAAAACAAGCAACAATGGGCAAGGATAATAGGATCCTCTGTATCCTTGCCACACACACATGCACCTGCGAGGCAAACAAAAAAAAAATATATATATATATATATATATATATATCTATAAAATAGTAACGGCAAAGAGTCAAGTTCAATAAATTATTTGTATTTTTCTCAATTGTTGAGAGAGCTTTTTTAAAATCTTGGGGGGCTAACACACTCCTTGGAGTTCGTCTTGGAGTTGAATCGGGCTATGGGATCCACATCCACATCCACCCATACACATTCGACACATTTGATTTCACTTCTCTACTACTCGTCCTGATCATGATCATCGGTGGATAAGCTTGGAGAGGGGATGCTTTCAACGGCTGGTGCTGGTTCTGGTGCTGGTGCTGGTCCTGGTGCTGGTTCTGATGCTAAATGCTGATTCTAATGATGGTATTGCTGCTTGACTAGTACTGGTAGTATTCCCATCCGTATCCGTGGCGTGTTCTAATTCGGATTCTGTGTGGGCGGATGATGATGATGGTACTTCTGGACATGGGCTTGGTGGGACACTGGTCTGGTGGTTATTGCGACACGGCTGCGGTTCGGTGTGGATGAGTGGCCAGGGCCAAATCCGTATCCGTACCGTCAGCCGATCGTTAGCCTCGGGGCTAAAAGTACTTCTTCATCTCGTCGTAAAGGGCGAGCACCAAGGCACCGCCAGTACCACGGATAATGTTGGACAGGGCGCCCTTGAAGAAGGCGCCGATACCCTCGGTCCTGGCAATCACCAGCCAGCAGTGAGCCGTGTTCTTGTACAGCATCTCGGACTTCTTCAGACCGGACTGCATCATCATGCGACGACGCACCGTGTCGAATGGATAGGAGGCGATACCAGCCACCGTGGTCACCACCTGGGCAATGGCCCAGCTGACATAGAAGGGTGTGCTCTTCGGATTGGGCAAGTAGTCGCGGCACGTGTCATAGAAGCCGAAGTAGGCAGCTCGGTAGATGACGATACCCTGCACGGAGACGATGAAACCGCGATACAGACCAATCGGTCCATCGCTCTTGGCAACCTTCAGGAGGCAGTCTATCAAACCGTTGAATTCACGATTGCCGCCCTTTCCCACGTCGGCGGCGAGTCTAGATACCAGATACCAGATTAATATATATACTAAGTAAGTTAGTACGAAAGGATACCCACCGGGTTCGAGCAAAGTCCAAAGGATACACAAAACACAAGGATGTGGCGCCTGCCGCACCTCCGGAAGCCATGTTTCCAGCAAAATGGCGCCAAAATTGTTTATGTTTGTCTATGCCACCGAGGAAAACCTACAAGGAAGATCAGTACCAAATGAAACCCCTATTAGATCCTTGCACTCACCGATTTGTAGACATCCTTGAAGGCGAAATTAAGGGCCTGAGTGGGAAAATATCGTATCACATTGGCCAGGTTGCCGCGCCAAAAGGAGCCGAATCCCTGCTCCTTGGGTATACGAATGAAGCAATCGACAATACCCTTATAGCGCTGATCCTGTGATATCTGCTTGGATACCTCCTGCACCTGCAGGAGCAGCTTGACACGCTCGATGGGTGCCACCGCCGTTTTGGCCACAGCAGCCGACACGCCGCCCATCATAAAGTCCATCAAGAAACCCTTCAGATCCTTGCCATGGCTGCCGCCACCACCTCCTTCTTCACCCATCTTCTTGGACTGATTTGGTTAGTTGGGCTTAGAGGATCAGAGTTACGAGTTAAAAGGGTTAAAAACAAAAAGTTACTTTTATTTTTTTAGTTCTTGTTTTTCAAACGCGTTTTGTTATTTTTTTGGTGTACTTTTTTTTGGTTTTTTTTTTTCAACCAATTTATAATTTTGATTCAGGAACGAATTGTGACCCGAAACTGACATAGGCTAACGAGATTGTGAGCTCATTGGGATTCGATTTGAGGGGACAGGGCTAGCATGGCCAACTTTAAGGTCAAAACTTATATATCGAGACGGTATCGAAGCAAGCCAAAAGGGGGTAAATCAATCGGAAATGGGTTAATATATATATGGACGTTAATCGGACAGTTTTGGTATCAAAGGTGTGAGTATAATTTGCTAAAATAATATATAAAAATCATAAATACATTTATCATAATGTATCTTTAATAAGTATCTCTGCAGGATTGAAATCTCTCCAATAGAGATAAAATTCTTGTTCGAGGAATTCTTGATTCCCAAGGATTAGACATTATTTAGTATTTAACATTAAATTTCGCAATAAATCACTCGTAATTCTCAGATATATGTGGTAATCAAATGGTAATCTAGCAGTTTCATTATAAAGGATAATTTCTTAAAATATAAAAATCAAACATGTACCAATATTTCCCCAATAAAGACTCTCCTATAGAGATGAGATTCTAAGATAAATTTTAAAGATCGGACAATATTCAATATCATTCTGCAACAAGAAATCTATCAAAATTATCTAATTTATATATGTAATATTTTATATACGGTATCTTAAAAAGGATTAATCTTTAGGAGATAAAAATTGATTAAAATTCCTCCAAAAAAGATGCAACTTTTGGCCAATTGCCAAGGATCTCAAAATATAGAAAGTAATTTTTAAACGCACAATAAATAAATCAATAAATAGGTTGTTAATGCCACAGTTTTCTTCTGAAGTATTTATCTTAAAACATTTCAATATGTCTTCAACAGAATCTCTCCAATAGAGATGTTGAAACTTTTAACCCATTTTCAAGGATCTCACAATATTGACTTTGGAATATTTCATCTCCAAAAATAAATCATTCAGAGGTATTTAATGGCTAATAAGAGGATATCATCTAATTTCATCTGGAGATCCCTTAAAAACATGTATCAAAGAAGCCTTCGATATAATCTCTTCAATACATAGAGATGAAGTTCTTAGGAATTCAATGTGGAAAATGGAATATTACAATAAATCACTCGGAATTATGTTGTTAATGTTTATAAAAGGATGATAATCTAATGATAGAAGATCTATCTATCTATCATTAAGAAGATAATTAAGAATCACTCTCAAAAACATAAAATGCAGGCATAATACTATGTATATAATAACAAGTCTTGAAAAAAAAGCTCTCCCGTAGTAAAACTACACAGTTTTAAGGATTTTTTCTTCAAAAAGAGATTAAATTCTTGACGAATTTTAAAGATCTCGCAATAAATGGTTTCAAAAAATGTAGAAAATTCATCGTTTATCAAAATATCATAAATAAAAGCTCTTCTATGAGTTTTAAAAACTTTAAGAATAGCTTTAAAAATAAAGATATAATTTTCAGCCAATAATTATAATTTTTTATGATCCTAAAAGATCTAAAAAGTGTACTTTTCAAATATTTGGCGGCAATATGCGAATAAAAACTCGCAGCTTTTAAACTTTAAACTTAAACTTTAAAATTTAAAGTTTAAACAAAGATCTTAAATAAAGTATACTGTTAAAAAGCATTTTCTTTTAACTAAAGACCTTTTAAGTTAAGAAATAAATAAAAAAACCAAAAGGTTTAGTTAAATAATAAATATAATAAAACATAGTATCCCAGTTCGATAAAGATATATAGTACGACCGATATATCTCACAGAAGCTGAAATAAAGCTTTTTGAGGAGGAGAGAACTTTTCCATGAATTTCAACTGGCTGGGCGAATCCATAGACCAGTATCCCTGGTATACAATAACCCTTGGACTGAACGAAGGTCATATCCACAAACACACACATACATATATCCACTGATATATAAATATATATATATAACTTATATAAAAGTATATACTCATAAAAGAAAACGCAAAACATTGTACTATTTTTATCAATTTTTATATATTTTTAAACCAACCGAAGTTGAGTTTGTGGTTTGTTGTGTCGGAGGCTGAGAATCTACAGGTTCTTGGGTTGATTCTTGCACTGCGCCCTCCACTCGATAACATAATCGGTTCTTTTTTTTTTTGGCTGGGGGTTTGGAGGCGTGGCCCGGCGGCGCCCAGCAGCCCAGCAGCAGGATAGGTTACATGATGATGTTACAGGATATCTATCTATAGATGGTAAATAGCCTAACCCAAAACTTAACAATACTACTTCCAAATATCGTCATATAGAGGGTGTCGTCTAGTATGCTGGGCCGCCAGCCTCTCTCCCCTCCGCTGTCTAGCTGGTCTAGCTGGTCTAGTGTTCTTGTTCTATTGATTCTGGTGCTGATTCTGATTCTGATACTGATACTGATACTGGCCAATCAATTTCCCCAGTTATTCTATATAATATATATAATATCATAATTATATCAGGAGAGAAACGGTTTGTAATAGTTGTTGTTATTGCTTGCCGCTGATGGCTTTCTCTGATGGTTATGGTAGCAGATCAAACTTTCTGTTTTAGTTATTTTTTTGTTGTTGTTTTTACTTTAACTTTTACAATTTTTGTATTTTTTTTTTGCTGTTCTCGCGCATTCAGTTATCTAACATAATTAGCTGGTAGTGTTTTGTTGTTGTTGTATGTTTGTTGTTGTTGTATTTTTGCTTGTTTTGAATAATTTAATAATTTAATTTACAAGAACTTCTTGATCTCATCGTACAACACAAGCACGAAAGCACCGCCAGTGCCTCTGAGAATGTTGGAGAAGGCACCCTTGAAGAAGGCGCCGGTACCTTCCTGCTTGGCGATGGTTGCCCAGCAGTGCAGTGTGTTCTTGTAGATGATCTCGGTGGACTTGCGGCCAGACTGCATCATCATGCGACGACGGACAGTATCGAAGGGATAGGACACAATACCAGCAACGGTTGTCACAACCTGGGCGATGGCCCAGCTGATGTAGATGGGTGTGTTCTTGGGATCGGGCAGCATGCCGCGAGCGGTATCGTAGAAGCCAAAGTAGGCGGCACGGTAGATGATGATGCCCTGCACGGACACTCCGAAGCCACGGTACAAACCGACGATGCCGTCGCTCTTGAAGATCTTGGTCAAGCAGTTGCCCAGACCGGTGAATTCACGAGCTCCACCCTTGCCAGTATCAGCAGCCAAGCTTTTTTTTCATTTAAATTGTAAAAAGAATTATATAATTAATTTTTTTGGGATCTCAAGTGGTTGATCTCTATTACTTACCGAGTACGGGCAAAGTCCAAGGGGTAGACAAAGCACAAAGAAGTGGCACCAGCAGCACCACCGGAGGCCAAGTTGCCCAAGAAGTAGCGGGTGAACTGGGTGTTCTTGTCAACACCTCCCAGGAAGACCTAATGCATTATATAATATATTAATTATACAATTCAATGGAAAGAGTTAGTTAGAAGAACATACCTGCTTGTACTTATCCTTGAAGGCAAAGTTAAGAGCCTGGGTCGGGAAGTATCTGATGACATTGGCCAAGTTACCGCGCCAGTACGAGCCGAAACCCTGTTCCTTTGGAATGCGGATAAAGCAATCAACCATGCCCTTGTACTGCTGGTCGGGGCTGATTTGTTTCGAGATGTGCTGAACCTGCAGGAGCAGCTTCACACGCTCGATGGGGGCGACGGCAGTCTTTGAGACGGCTGCGGAGATACCTCCGGCAGCGAAGTCCTTGACGAATCCAGCAGCATCGAAATCCTTGCCCATTTTTGCTGTAATAATACAGCGGGATTTCCCGCAACTCTCATTAGTTTTTCCAACATTCTTAATCGCCGATTTTGAATGAATGATAATTTTTTTTTTTTTCTAAATTTTTTGGTATGTAGAGGCGTCATATGTATATATCCATGTCATGCGGTTGGTGATTTGCTTGCTTGCTTGATTTTTTCTTGCTTTTTTTTTTATTTTTTTTACCTTGCTTGGAAACCCATGCGTTGCATAATGTAATACGGTTACGATATATATGTGGTACAACATGGCGGATGAATGATAATCACTTTTCTTTACACAGGTGCATAGATAGAGACAGGTGCACAGGATGAATAGCCAAAATAGCCCAAAGCCAAATGAAAATGTTCTAAATCATAAGTGGGATATAGTATTTTTTTTTCTTTTTTTCACAAACACACGGAACCGGGTAAATATATTTTAATAAAACGGGATTATACGTGCACTTTTTTTTTTTTTTACACTACAATTAAGTAAAAAATGATATAATTTTGTTTTAAACTTAAAATTAGTAATGGTTATGCTTAACATGCAGTATTAGTTTATGTTTTAACTACAAATGTAAGTAAATGATTATTTGTTAAAAAAACAGAAATGTGTTAGTAAATGGTAAGTGGTTGGCATCAGCATTTTTTTTAGCAAAATAATATAATAATAAAAAATAAAGCCTTGGTTAACGATTTTTGTTGTTAAGTCAGCTTTTTGTTGGTTAAACTGGTTTTTTTCCAATGAATCAGTTTTTTTTACCGGCTTTAGCTGCCACGTGGATTGGAAATTAATGAAAACTTTCAAGTTTAAGCCATTTTTTATACAAATCAGTTAAAAAAAGGTCATTTAATTTCCAAAGAAAAGTGTTTACGTGGCATCTATAATATTTACTAACCAAATTTATATTTTTCATTTAAGAATTGTTTGGATTACATAATGGCCTTTAAAAAAAAAGAACCATAGAAGTTCAATGGAGAATCTTGGCGCATGGGGCCTTCACACTAGTGTGAGAAAGATGGCAACAGCCACCACACTTTTTTTTTGCTTTCTATTTTCTCTCATTCTTTCTTTCTTTTTTTTTGGCAACCTCTGCGCCATTGAAATGTTTTTCGTATTTTTGTTTAAAATTAGAATTTCCACTGAAGGATGAGTTCTGTGAAATGAAATTAGCATTAGTCGTGGTAGTAGAACCAGATGAGTTTATGTAACACTTTTGGCATTGCGAATAGAATAAGAAAGAGAGCCGGTCGCTTTGCTTTCTCTCTTCAAGTTTGGAGGAGGAGGGCGGACCGACCCGACCCGACCATTTATTATCTAATGGTTTTGGGGCTTAAGAGAGCAGCAGGCACACCGGAGCTTTTGCAAAGAGCAAGAGAGACCAAGAGAGAGAGCACGTGATGTAATGGCCGCAGCTGGAAAAATTTTAAGGAGGCGCAGAGTTGCCGAGGCACGTGGAAGAGAGGAGCCAAAGGGCACAATTATTGTATTATATATCCATCCAATTTGTAAGTTGCATTATCCGATTAGGCTAATGGCCGATTTTTATGGATTGCATAAGATACTACTAATACACCAGAAAAAAAAAATAATGTTGTATTCAAGTTCAAGTTCCGTTTGGTTCTCAATTGATTTTCGGTTTATGTAATCATTCGATTTAAAAAAAAAAAAATTAAAAATTAAAAAAAATAAAGTCACACGCGTTGGCTTTAGATTGGCTTGCGATGCTTCAGTGATGGCTTTTAATGTGATTTGCTTTCGATTCGTTTTTTTTTTTTTATTTTTATTGATTGGCTTACGTACAATTTGTTTGTGTTTTATATCACAGCACAAAACCGAAAAAAAATATTTATCCTTATTCCTTGGAATCAAAGGTCTGCACCGGACGGCAACTGAATTGCTTGTGAAAGTACCGCTCGCCCATGTTAGCCACCTAGCCTGCGCTGCCGTCGCAGCTGCGTAGGCGTCGTCGTCGTCGTCGCCGTCAGCGTCGGCAGCGACCGCGACTTCAAGTTCAACAGATGAGCGCCGAGAGAGAGAGAGTGAGAGCGACAGCTGGTTAGCAAAAGCGTCATCTAGCGGTTAGCAACAGCAACACAGCACGTGTGCGAAAGCGAGACGGAAATGGGCGACGAAGAGAACGACGACGAAGCTCCCCGAGATCGGCGCTTATCAGTTTGCCTCTAAGAATTCAATGGCATATACTAGGCGTGTATTGCATAAGAGTTGGGGGGAAAATAGGAAGTGTACTTGTACTAGAGAAATGCTTTTGTCTTTCGCTTTCATTTTTGGTTAGTTTTTCGAGGCCCGAATATTGCATATATGGCCAATTGTTTTTCATTTACCCCTTTCGAGGTTTTCGGGGCGTCGAAATGCCTGCCAAAAAACAAAAAAAAAGCCAAGAACATTTACAATTTGGCAAGAAGCCCAAGCCGTCAGCTGTGTTGCATGTGACTGGGCTTTTTTTTTTTTTTTTATTTGACGTCTGCCTACCGCCCTCTCTCTCTTTCGTTCAGTGTCAGTCTCTGCACGCTCTCCCTCTCTTTCATATTCGCGTTTAGCGGAAGCAAGAGGGGGGGTGGGTGGTCAACCACTAAAAGAAGTGCGTGAAGCGATTAGATAAACACCGCTGCTAATACAGTTATTTATATAAGGCCCGACAACTGTCTGCGCCGCTTTTTCAAGGTCCCGCTATCGCGAAAAATTACATAAAAAAAATAATACAAAGAGAAAGCAAGGCAGAGGAAGAGAGCCTCTAATCAAAAAGCTCTCTTCGAATACACAGAAAAACAATTTCCAAGCTAAGATGTATGAGTTTTTAGATAATTGCTTGGCAATAAATTTCAAGTTTTGTGATTAACGGTCTTGAATAATTCTCTAAAGCTCCCTCCAACACGCCCCAAAGTTTTAATTATTTCTATTGTTATTAGTTGGAAACATAACCTCCTAGATGTCTCAAAGACTAAACAAAACGGAAATCTTTTCTATATTTTTTGCTGAATTGCAAATCTTACTCTGGTTACAGATTCAGAAAGTGCGAAATAAGATGCCATTTGTCGCGGAAATGTAATAATAATAAACACTATCAGTAACGAGCTTTGCAATCAGCGGCAAATAGCGCTAAAAGGCCGCACAAAAGGGCAAAATAAGCATAAGTCATATGAGTACTAGGCGTCATTGACGTCACAAGGTGGCCAGAACTAGTGCAGAGGCGTAAAACCGGTTCGTTTTGCGGACTTTTTTTTTTGGGGGAAAGAATCTTTCCCATTTCGCTAAAAGAAAGCGGGTCAGAAGAGAAATGCAGGTCCTAAGAGCGATAGTTACAATTTCTCTGACCCTTTCTCTCTCTCTCACCCAACCACATGCCAGCTAGCCTGCACGCGCTTAGCACAGGAGTGAGCGAGAGGGCGCTACTGGCACATGGAATTCGTTCGCACAGAGGTGTGATTTCTGTTAGTGTGTGTGTGTGCAACTGGGCAATAGAACCATCAATTGCCACACTTTTTGCAAATAATTCGCTCTGATATAGAATTGTGCATCTATATATGCATACTTGCAACCCAATTGTACTCAAGAGACTTGCAATTTTAATAAAATTAAGCCGCATCTCAGTGGTAGTGCCAACTCGGTGCGAATTGCATAAGTTGGCAGTTCCAGCGTGGTTGCAAAAAAAATGGGGGATATTCCAGCGTGGCTTGCGCAAAAAAAAAAATTTACTAATTCAGGGACATTATACAATTTTAATGATTATGGATTTCAGATATTGTAAGCGATTCTTCTCATTATTTCGTTATAGGTTTCTATGAAGATCTATGGGCCTTCACACAGCTTTGCGGCACTTGCGGCAATTTTTCGCATGGTTATATAAGCGCACGTCGGCAATTTTCAACTTTGCTGGGGAGTTATTCCCGACTCCGAAACCATCACCGCGCTTAACATATCCAAATTAGTTAAACCAACACCAACACAAAAAGAAAAAAATATTGAGCACATTACATAACTAAAGAATCTAGCGCAAGGTGACGTGAAAAAAAAAAAAAATCAATGGCTAATGCAGAATTTCGGGGACACCAGGCACTGTCCCCGGATTCGATCGATGTCTCTCGGACAGTTTGGTGGCTTTTCAATGGATAATTATTTAAAAAAATGCACAATACCTTCAGTTGATTAACTTCTTACAAAAGTCACAGAATAAAAACTTCTTTTGCAGAATTGACCCTTGGCGAAGCCGCGTGCTCACTTAACGAACGAAATCGTGAAGTGTTAGGGATGTCGAAAACACCTACTTATATCGAAATAGATATCGAAGAATCGAAATCGATATTTCTATCGATACATTTTCGTTTTGGTCATACTAAAGTCCTGCAAATATCGTTTGTCAAGATAATAGAAATCATTTGACTATCGAAAATATACAAAAACAGCTCGTTATTAAATTCTTAAGAATATCAGCTAAACTGCTTAAGATGGCATAATATAATTAATATTTCTATTTCTCTCTCATTTTGCCATATCCGGTGACCATAACCGTTTCAATAAGATATTTTAGTGTTGCCAACTGTCAATTTTAAGCATCGCTAGTTCCGATGTATGACAGAGCTTCAGAGCTAAAGGACTTCCGAATATGCTTTTTTTTGGCGGTAAAATCGAAATTTTAAATAAAATAATTGAACTACCTAAATTTTTTAATTTTCCTTCATAGTTTATTAAAACATACATATTTTATATACGAAAAATCATTTATTGAGTAAATTTCTTTTCGATTTGTTTTTCACATGTTCACAAAATTGTATTTGGGTTTAGTTGTATAGCATGTTTTTAATTTTTTTGTTTAGTTTTATTTTTTTTTAATATATTTTCCTTGGCCTTGGGATACAATGTATGTTTTAAGCTTCGTGTTTGTGTGTCTTTTTCGCTGAATGTGGGTCTTGTATTGAATTTTTGTATTGAGCGCTAGCAATTAACATTTAATTACACCGAAAAGGGAAAACATCTTACGCAGATTAGATTGTAGTATACATGTATATATGTAGTTTATAGTATCTGGATTAGCAACCTCCCAGAATACTAGAATTTTGGGTTTTTTTTTTTGGGGTATTTAAGGATTACCGATTACTGGTTGCTGGTGGGGGTTGCGACAAAAATTAAAGGTGTGTGTGTGTGTGTGTTTGGGAGGTTTAAAGTTTAAAGTTTAAACCATTATTATAGATGTACTCGCTAGTAAATACTGGGTTGGGCTGGGGCCTCTAAACTATGACACAACTGACATCGAGTAGCCTTCTAATTTGGGATCTGCGCTTTAGCCTATTTATGTCCTTTATTGGTTATTTAGATTACGTTGTGTAGATTTTTTTCCATGGCAGATACTAAAACATACACAGAGTGAATATTTGATATATAATGTGGTTATCGTTTTCCCGATATTGATAGCTTTCTTTCTTTCTTTTTTTTTTCATCTTTTGTGGTTAAAAAACAGTTATACAATGTAATGAGATTATAGCTCGATTTTGCTTCTTCATCATTTTTTGGTAGGATCTCTCGTTTAAGGATCAATATTTCGTATTTTTTTGAGGTTTTTTTTTAGTTTTTGTAATATATTTAATTTGTAGTTTTTTTTCTTGGTTTTTTGTTCTTTTTGTGTAGGAAACAACAAAAATGGACGCAAAATTATTGTTATAGTAGTATTTCTATATAGGAAATATGCAAAACGTACACTTATAATATTTTTAAGGTTTTCATTCTCTTGGTTTTTATGTTTGATACTAGATAAATGCAGCTCTAAAACTTTTCTTACTTCTTTGACATTTGTTACACTTTTCATTTCTGGCATTTATGTTTATTTTCATTTTTTTTTTTTGGTTTTTTTTTCAGAATATTTCATCTTACACTTTTCAAATACATTTAAATAACACTCCTATAGAAATATCCAAGCTGAGGTAGTTAATTCATTCAATTATTTTTTTTAGTTTACGTTTACGTTTTGGTTATTTTATATAGTGACTGCACAATTAAGCACATATTTTATTTTCTTTTTTTTTAAGTTTAGTAGGTTTGTTTGTGGTACAGTTTTATTTTTAAACCATTTATTTTTTAAACCATTTTTACCCTTCTACCATTAAATTCAGAGTTCAAGACGATTGTTGGATTGGAGGAGTGGTTCGGTGTGGAAAGGATCGATCATCGAAGAATCCTTAAGAATCCTTGGGAATAGCGAAGCCAGTAACATAAAAAAAAAGAAATAACTGAAAAATTAAAGAACTCTGAACTACAACGAAAATAATAAAATAAAAAAGCAAATCAAGTTTTGTGTTTTTTTTGTGGTTTTTTTAATAATATTTTACTCTTTTTTTGTAATATTTATAATATTTATAGATATTTTAGCTCTGTAATGTAGATACAATGTACAATGTAGATACATCCTGTGTCGTCGTCACATCATCCTCTCATGTGTAGATTATGTGTAGATTAAATGACCTTACGTGTAAAATGTAGACGACGCAAAAAAAAGCTATAAACTAATTTTAGATAATAATAAAAGTAAATTTAAAAATAATTATTGTAAAAATAGTTGTATTTTTTTTTTGTTTTGTTTTTTTTGTAAATTTTTTATAATCAATTTTATTTTTTTTTTTTGTTTTGTTTTCCTTGTTTGTAAAGATTTATTTTTTATTTTATTTTTAAAAGTGGTTTCTATATAGTTTGCTCGCCATTCAAAAATTTTTTTTGTTTTAAAAAAATGATTACAATTTGATGAATGATGAATGATGTTTGATGATGTTTGGTTGATGAAAGGTTTGGGGATGTCCAGCGACATGGTTTTAATTATAAACTACTATCACACAGGCAAACCAAGTGCTGGATGGATAAGAAATAGGGGGTGGTGGGTGGTAGGTGAATGTATGTAGAGGTTAA